CTTACCTGCAGACCAGATCTTTAACATCTTATCCCAAGATCCACTGCAGAACTGTATGAACAGAAACATTTTGTTAAAAGTTGATCCAGACAGACATTCTAAGCCATACTAACTATACTTCCTTTTTGAAAAGTTAATCAATGAGCTATAACACGTGAAGAACAGTGCTAGGCTCCTCAAATAAAATTAAAAAAGGTTTAGTATAGACCAATTTATCCTTTTTCCTTTCTTTGCAGGAAAAAATATCTACAAAATATCTCTTTATTTCCTTCAGTACTAAAAGGTTTGATTTTAACCTGGCGGATATTTACATCAAGCTGAGAGGGATGACTCTACTTTTGTGCTGTGAATGCTTTTAATTATTAAATTCCTGGATAAAGGGAAAGGACATCTTCTACCACCTGCTTTTTCTTAGTATCACTCTGGAATTTTTTTCCCCACCAAAACTACTGTGAAAATTTAGGCCAAACTTGAAAACAGTTTCTATAATAAAAATAATGTAAAATTCACATGCATTAAAAGCAAAATTTTCTTAAGTGAAGGTAAATGTTTATTTTTAAGTCAAAAGGAGCAGTATAGTGCTGCCTTAAGTCAAAAAGCACTGGTATAATGGCTTGTGCTATCTAAAGTCACCTTCAGCTCTTTGTGCTATGTAGAGGTTAACTGCATCACTTTCCTTGTTTGAAAAGATGGCGTAGTGTTGAGGATTAGGAGTGCTACGCATCAATAAACACCATTTATAACAAGACTGAAAATTTATCAGTGTGTCTGTCATAATGACATGATGACTAGTATCTATGCAGGTACAAAAAGATGATTTTGGGGGATACGGGCTGCTAACATCCCAAACAACATATTTCTTTCCAGGAATCACTCACTTTAGTTCCTGTGCAATCAACAGCTATGGAGTCTACACTCCCAGCATGTCCCCTGCAGCAGTGCAGAGCTTTCACTTTATTTTTCTCCACATTCCACTCCCACAGCAGGATAGTTTGGTCCATAGATGCACTGAGTAACAGGCAGGATAGACTATCTGAGGAAGAAAAAGTGTCATGATCGCACACATCTCAGCTTTCCGTAGTCTTTACAATAATTACTCCAGTCAAAGAAATAGCAGATAGATATCTCAGTTTACATCGTGCTACCATGCAAGTACAATTAATATAAAAATACATACCAGTATTTGCTAATGAAGACTGCAAGGTGGACAGCCACTGTACATATTAAACTAACTACATTCATTACCATTATTTCATTTCTAATGCCATTAACAGAGATTGAAAAAAATGTAGCATTTAGATTATTAAATATTCATGACTGAGTCATGCTGACATTTCTCCTCCAATAAATCAAACTATTACTACTCCCTAATATAAATACTGACCTTTCTTCACCCATGCCACGTCCTTCACTACTTCTGTATGCCCAGCTACTGTCATGATGGATTTTCCTTCTAAAGACCAAATTCGAGCAGTCTGATCGTAGCAGCCAGTTAATATCCTACAAGGTACAGAATTTGAAACGTTGTCTTTAAAACCAACAACATTTTTATGGAAAAAAAGCTTCAACTAGAAACTTGGAAAAATATTAGCATAGTAACTAGTTAGCTGAAACGAATTCAAAGCATAGCTACTTCATGTAAAAAAGAAAAAAAAAACATTAGAAAATTGAATTTGGAAAATTAAAAAAATCTTTGTGTTACAGAGTAAAGCTTCATTAAAGCCTACAACTAAAAGGCTATGAGAACATGACAAAACCAAAAGCAATTAGAGTACTGCATATTCTGGTAGGTCATTCTTAAGATTGCTTACATCATTTAAAATAGAAGTTCATTTGTCATTTGTGGTATGTTACAAGAGAATCTCAAAGCATTTTCAAACCCTTAATATAGGAACATTGCTGAGTTGATTGGAAAATTTATGTGAAAATACAGTAGAAAAGGATAATTACAGTTTTTTTTAAAGAAAAGCTCTACATAAAGGTATGCTATTAGATTTGTTGCTAAGCAATATCATATTTGAAGTCAAAGGTTTAAGTTAAAAAGGAGAAAGGACAGTAAACAGCATTTGCATTTATAATAATAGTATCTCATGTTCAGTGACCGTAGCTGTTTTCTACTTGTGCTAAGTCACTGTCAGCACAGAATAGAGGTGATAAAATGGAACTGCTTACAAAGGCAAGTAACTGGGCGATTTAAAGTTAAAAAACAAACAAAAACAGAATAAAGAGGAAAAAAAAATATTTAAGAGACAGAATACCACTCCATTTGACACCACAGAGCCCTCTGCACACAACAGGAATAAGCAAGACAAAACTTAGAACTGGTTTAGTGCGGTACCATTCTTCAGTGGCTTGAACAGAACTGATCCAATCATCGTGGAAGATGCATTCCTCTGGCTGAGGGGCCATGTATTTCTCCACATACTCTATTTCCACCACTTCTTCCTGAGCTCACAAACAAAATACTTATTTAGTGTGATCTTATTTTTTTTAATCAATAACAGTAGTATTTAACTGTACTGTGGTGCAAATATACATGTTTATTGGGCAAAGATCTTGGTATCCAAGTAATTTTGCCACATTAGTGGAATTAAAATCTTTAGAAAAAAGTGTCTGAATTATATTGCTTTCCATGTTTTTATCAAATTGCTATTAATAGCAATCTGGAAGCAAAACCAAATAATTTCACTCTTCTCACGTTCCTCTTCTTCTGTGTTCACCTATATAAAACTGGTGTCTAAAATACTTCACAGTATTTTCTAGAGGTAATACTAATCTCCTCCTGTTATGGTCCAACTAATGTAACAGTAACTATGTAACTAATACAGCAGGAGATAAAAATATATTAATGACAAACTGAGTAAGACAAGAATTTCTCCCCTGAACTGTACACAGACAACAGAGTGGATAATGATGTTTCTTGCACTGCTCAATGCCATACTCCCTAATCACTCTGCAGTTCAAGATGGATTTACACACACACAAAATTCTCCTGGCAAGTCAGAAAGAAATAAAACTGAGCAAGGAAATCTACCTAGTCAGATGACAGTGTAATATTTAAATCCTACTGAAATAAACTGGCTAAACCTGTCCTACTGTCCAAGATGGGGAGAAATGGAGTAGGGCTTACCGTGGAGATATTTTCTGTTTCCATATGCGTGACCAGTGGCATACGCAAGAACTGGCCATTGATAAGGAAGTCAAATTCCACATATTTGTGATCCTCTGAAACAAATTAGGAAGAAATCCATGTTCATGTGTCACTATTTGATACCATTAAGAACAGCATTATTCTGTGTCCAGTTCAGGAGAAAGGAGCCAGCAAGAGGTTAAAAAAAACCAAAAAACCAAAGAAAAATCCCCCCAACAAAACAGTCAGTTTCTTCTCCCAGTTATAAGTGTGCAACCTATGAATTCCACAGGGTTAATGTGAGTTAAGAGGGAAGGAAAATTTGCTGTTGGGGTCCAAAGAGTCAAGTTTGCCTCACTGTTATCGCATTCTTTTCTACATCATTTTCTCTGTAGCTACATCTAATCAAACCCCAGCGGTGCTTCATTGCTGTTCTGCATGGAGCTGGCCACTGCCAGCTCACATCTTTATCATCACCAGCTAGAGCCCTGTCTTTGAGGCAGCAACAGGACAATCCTAAGAATTTTTGCCTCATATTTCCCCCTCTGTAATGCTATAGTTGGCAAAGGCCTCGCATTGCACTGTGCACTAACTTTTGTATTCATCATTGTGATTTCAGGGGTTAAAAGCAACTTATCATAGAACCATCTAGGTTGGAAGGGACTTTCAAGATCATCTAGTCCAACCATCAACCCAACTCTGACAAAAAAACCATCACTAAACCATGTCCCCCAGCAAGGGGGACAGAAGCCGTGGTGGGTTAAGACACAATTAGTCTAGTTTCTTAAAGAGAAAGGTATTTTTCAACAACCTTGCACAAGTGTCTTTCCCCTGAAAATCTTTCAAGTCATTGAGGCCCCTTTCAAAGGGGGCATTGAGAGAGCAGCTGAGCTCTTCTCGAAGGCTCTCACAAAACCCAAACCTTTGGTTTCACGAGGTCTTTTGCCAGGTTTGGAGGGGGAGTAACTCTTCCCTTCCCCATCGGCGTGGGCGGCCTGGCCTGTTGGTACCGGGCAGGCAGGAACCCGGAGCGTGTCCCCCGGGGGTGCCCAGCAGCGCCGGCGCTGGGTGAGCTCCCGAGAGAGCTCCCGGAGAGGGCCTCCCTCGGGACAACCAGACCGAACCGGAGGGGCAGGCCGGGCCCAGGCTGAACCGCGGTCTCCGTGAGGGGGCCCCGTGTCCCCGGGTGCCGCTCCTGCCTTTGACAGCACCTTCCTCAGGCCAGGCCCGCCGCACCGTGGGGTTCAGCCACAGCGTGGGCCCGACTCGCGTGGGGGCAGCGCCGCGGCCCGTGCCCTAAAAGACACTGAGGGGGGCTGGAGCGGGACGTGTCACCTACCGTCTGCGGCCGCCAGCAGCTTGTTGATGAGGCGGCTGAGGTCGGTGGTCTCGGAGGCCGCGGGCACCGAGAAGGGCACATCCTCCACGGCGTACCTGCGGGCACACAGCGCCGTTACCGTTACCGCCCCTTCCCGGGGGTCCCCCCCGCTACCCTTACCCCCTCCGGGCGCTGCCTCACCTGCGGTTCTCGGTGCGGAACCGGGCTGTGAGCTGCGCCATGCTGCCGCCGCTGGCCTCGCCCCCCCACCCCGCCACGTGCCGCGATTAGCCCCGCCCGCCCGCGGGGCCACCGCCTCCCGCCGCGCCCCGGGCCCCGCCGATCCTCTTTCCCCGGCCCGACCGGGCCCGCTGCCGCTCTCCTCCCCTCTCCCCCGCCGCTCCCCGCTGCCGCTACCGGTGTGCCACGCGGCCGGCGGCGCGTCGCCGTGGAGACTACAAGGCCCAGCATGCCCCGCGCGGCCGCCCGCGCCGCCTTCCCGGCGCCCCTCGCGCGCGCCCCTCCCCTCAGCCCGCAGGGCGGGCGCGGCGGCGCGCGTGCGTGGAGGGGCGGTGTGCATGGCGGCGCCTGCGGGAGGCGAGGCGAGGTTGAGTACATTCCTCCGGGATTCTCCGCCGCTTCCCTCTGCGGACAGGCCGCCCGCTCCCCCCGGGGGGCGGCCAGCGGGAGGGATCCGCGCTGCCGTGTCCCTCTTCCCCCGCCCCGGGGCTGCGGTGCGAGCGGCGTTGTGTGTGGGAGGGGAGGGAGCGCGGGGTGAGGGGATGGGGCGCTCCCCCCAGTTCCCTCAGGGCTGGGAGGTGTCGGGGGGCGCGTTCCGTGGGGCGGCAGCAGGCCCCGGCGGCGCTGGAGGGGTGTCCCGTGGCTCCCCCTCGCCGGGGCAGCCGGGGGTAGCGGGCTTGCCCCCGTGGCCGTGGCGGCCGACGGTTCCCCCCGTGGTGGAGGCGGCGTGGGGGGCTGTTGGGGGCCGGTGGTGCCTTCCTAGGGGTGACTTGGGCTGTGTTTCTTTGCGTGTGGAGGGACGCATCCACAATAAACTTTCCGCTAAAAGTATTACACCCAGCACGCAGCGGGCTCTCAAAGAAGCTGTGAGTTTGCTGTTTTTGGGAGAAGGCTGCTTGTGTGAGTACCTGCTGTGTGCTTGGCTTATGTGTATTTTTTCCTGCCTTTTTGGCATTTACTTGTGACCTCTGAGGGAACAGCTGAGCTTTCCCTCAGGTTGGGTCAGTTTGTTGGAGAGGGCAGGTGTCGAGTCTTGATGTTTTGTCAGGCTCTGAAATCTTATCCTTTTCTTAAGTGTATGTAAAAAAATCTAAGGTTTGCCAGTGTAATTGACGCAGGTGTGTTTTCCAGAGACTTGTGCTAGCTACACGAAAGTGACTGACTTGAGAAACCTTTTAAGCAGCAATCCTCAGATCTTCTGTGCGTTCGTAGCAGTATCTGCCTGCTCTTCCATAACAGAGATAAGCTAAATCTCAAACCTGGCACAAGTTAACGTGAAGCTAACTGTTAACTCATTTACTTGAGAGTATCACTATGCCCTAATGCCCTTCCTGTTTTGTTTTATTGTGATTTGTGCCCTTCATGATGATGGTAGAGGAATGTCATCAGAGGAAGCTTTTTCAGAGAGAGTGTTTAATTTTTGTAAGCTGTGCAATTATCTTAAATCTTTTTATAAAACCTCTGAAACGTTTTGTAGAAAACCTAAAAAAAGATTGTTGGTGAGGCGTTCGACTGTATGTATTTCCTGTCATGAAGTATAAATTAAAACCAGAATGGGGAATACTGTTGTCAGAAATGCTAAAAAGATGAACTTGCAGAGTCAAGGTTTTATTTCCTTTTTTTTTTTTTTCTTTCAATGGGTATGCATTAAAAACATGAAGCCTGAAAGATGTAAGAGAATTTCCTCCCTCCTGCCCCAACAGAGTACTTCTAGGTAGAATGTGCTTATTATCACAATGGACTTACCCTATTTTTCCAGTTTAGGTTTCTCATGACATAAGTCTTGCACTATTGACTCAGTGTCAAAATAACTGGCTCTGGGATTTTGAAAGGCAGTGTTTCCTTTTGGAATCTGGCTGCGTGTTGCCTTCGCAAGGAGGCCTTGTAGCTGAGGGAAGGTGGAAGCAAGCATTCATGCAAAGCCTTAAAATTATGTCAGTGTATAACTGGTATATTTTTAGGGACCACTACTTGCATTTGCTAGGTATAGGTATTACCATAGAATAAAGAATTGGAGGCAAGAAAACACAGAAGTCTAGTACCTTGCCTTAAGGCATGGTGGAGGTGTGACTAGTCAATAACAGGATTTTAAAGTAATGCTAGTTTGACTTTTTGGTTAGTTTCTTTAAAAGTTTATGCATTAAGAAGCAGTGTGTGGGCTCTTGTATTAGAGAGGAGATTGCAACTGTTATGAGAAAGGCTCACCTCAGAGTGGGCATCGAGGCCCTGTTCCTGATGTTATACAAGTTGTGTCTCTGGATGACAGTAAACCTAGCATTGCAAGAGGTGCCTCTGGCTTTGACAGCTGCGTTGTCATGGGAGTTGTTGATGGCTAAATGAATTGAGATCTGACAGCCTTTTGTGTTTTGCTGATAGTTCAAGATCATTTAGTGCATTTGTCTTTGGAATTGAACCACTGATGGTACTGTGTAGGCTAGATTGCAGTGCATAACCTTTGCTCTCTTGATACAATGGTGTTACACTGGAAATGTTTGTGTGCTTATGAAAAGAAGAGATACTTGTATGGTATTTGCTCATTCATGTTAAAATATCCATCCATATATGTATATATAAGTATACAGGATTGAACTGTCTTGTTTGGGGAATTTTTTAGTAATATTTATACAACTATAAAATTTATTAACTGTGTATATACTTGTATGTATCTGTAAAAGTATATTTCTTAAAGAAAAGGCAAATACCTTTTTTGTTTGCACAGCACTTAGGTTAATGAAAGTTGGATGGTTAAACCATGAAGTTCAGTGTCCGAGGTGATGTATGTGCCAATGGTCAGTCTGGATTAGGACAGTGATTAGACAAAGTCACAGGGCAAAAACATACCAAGGGCATTTTTTAAACACAAAGATAAAACTTCAGATATTCTTGAGCTGCTTGTAAGAGGAAGCTTGATAAATATCACTTTATATTTACCCTACTGCTGTCATTTTTTTTTCACAGAGCTTTATTATTAACAAGTGTTAGATACAGGATATTGAGCTATTTGGGCCATTGGTCTGTCTCAGTACAGCTGTCTTTGTGTTCTGTAGTCAAGTTCCAGCACACTCAGGGTACGTGCCATCAGTATCCCTGCAGCAAGCTTCTTCATTTTATCTCAAAGAATTTAATGTGCTGCTCTGGCAAAGCTGACATATCTTCTTTACATCTTTTAACTGAGGGGAAATGGTTGAGTGATGATGAAATCTAGTTTTCTGTCTTTTTTTCATTTGTTGCTAACATGTTTCAGACATCTTAACTGAAATATCTCGTTATTGTTCTGACATCCAAAGCTACAAAATATTTGGTTGACGTGAGGTAACTTCTTTTGGAACTTGGAGTGTCATCACTTGAAAATTGAATGGAAAAATAAATCTGCTTTAGATTAAAGTATTTAGTATATTGAGCATCTGAGCAGCTTAACTTCACAATGTTGTTTGTATCAGCAGGATGCTTTATTCAGCTTCAAAAGCCAAGGAGATGTGGATTTACTTTGCCTGTGGTCCTTTATATCTTTGCAAAGCAAAATAAATTTGTGCTTCCAGGGTTGTACAATTCTTTTCAAGTGACTCTCTGGCCTTTTACATTCTCCTTACTAAAGCTACAAACGGTTGAAATATCACAGCCAAGAAGGTCCATCTCAAGGAATTTACTATGTGGTGTGGTGAAGAAGATAAAGCTGGTAGGAGTCATGTGCTAATATAGCACTGCCTTTAAAATAAAAAGCCTGTCTCTAAAATAGATACTGAAGGGAAAAATCCTGAACACTTTTCCCCCTCCCTCACCCCAAACTGTAGGAATTAAGTTTTCTTTTATTCAGTTTGGCATATTATGTGTGTAGTCTGGTATATATGTACTCTAGTAACGTAGGGGCCAAGTTAATTTGTCATTTTTCTCATTGCTTATGAATATTTTGGATTGGTCACAGCTTTAGAGGGCATACTGTCTGGGTGAAAGCCTTATCCTGTGGATGTGGCAATTCACTGTCCAGTATTATCTGTTTGCTTGGAGGTTTACAGTGAGCGGCTGAGCTCCTTGAAGTGCTTTTCTTTGGGATAGAGTGGCACCGAAGTACCACGAGCTCTGTCTTTTTGTGTTTCATTATGTGATTCATGCCATTCATATCTGAATTTTGTTTCAGATATCTGATGTTTTTCCTGCCCAGAGCTTACTGCTGTAGACTAACAATAGTAATTTTATTCCGTTTATATGTTGTTTTGTAACTCTTTAAAACAAACATAATTTACTTCAAGATGGCTGCATGGCAGAGTTGGGTAACACAAATCCTCTCTGTTGATTATGGAAGTAGATGACTAATATTTTTGTGAAGCAGTGCTGGCATATCTTTAAATATCAAGTGTTCTCTGGATGTGTAAGGCTGTAGATGAGTGCTTGTGGACATATTTAGATGAAAATAATGAGCGTCTGTGTGTGTGTTTTGTAACTGTGTATGCAATGACAAGTCAAGCAAATTGTCTTGTACAAAATGCTAAACTATACTTCTGGAACAGCACACTGAAATTTTTCTGCAGTGAGTAATAAAGTGATAAAGAGGCAAGGATTTCTTGAGGGCTTTGCTGTTAGCTTGCAACGGCCTTGGAACTTGTAAGACTAAATTTGTAAGACAAAAAAACCCCAAACCTTGCGGTGATGTTTTGGTTGAGCCTATAGTACAGAAGGCTGAAATAAATTTTTTGTAACTTTTCCAGGTCACCTTGTAATGGAAAAAATGGAGCTGACCATGACATTGCTATGCAAGGATTTGATGATTTGTTCATAGGCAACTGCAATAGTACAGGAGAGTCAGAAACAAATGACTGGAGTTTTCAGGTGAGGTATGAGTGTCCTGTCTTTGTAGAAGCTTTCTTTACATTCTCTCTGATGAATTTACAGTATGATGTTTCATCAATGTGTTTTTTTTCTTGCCTTTTTAGTGTTACATTGTGTCTTTTAAACAGGTATAAAAGTTCCTTCCCTTGGATTCTTGTGCCATTTTGAACTAATAATGATCCAGATGATATATGTAATGATTACCTTTAGTAATTATATTAATAGATCCTATTACGCAGGTGAAGAAATAAGTTTTATTGTGTTAACAAAATCCTTTAATAAAACAATACTTGAGTATTGGCGTAGGACGGGATCAGAACACTTGAAAATCAGCTCAAATTGCTTATTGACCAAAGGTGGCAAATAAGAATCCAGGAACACAAGACATCTGTGTAGGTATTGAGGAAGTGAAGTCTTTTTATTATCAAATATCGCCAGAGATTTCTGTGCACAAATGTTCTTCTGCAGGTTACTTCAGCTAACATAAAATATCATTCAGGTAGTGATTTAGTAGTGTGCTTATGGTCTCTAGGCAATGTCTTTAACACAACTAGTGCCATATATTTGTTGCTGCTTTTCTGATGTAGTTTACAGTAGACAGTTTCAGTACAGAAGACTTATACCTGCAGAATTTTTGAGGTTATTTGACCCAGGTCTGACTTTCATATAAAATTTAGAAACATTTTTCCCCACTCTTTGGGTCTGTAGTTGACAAATGTTTGTAGCAGAAACATCAGAGTTGTTTGTGTAATTGCTGCAACAGATACAAGTTGCACTGCTTGCATTGGCCAAATGACAGGCAGCGTGACATGATATTTTACACAAGGGCTGCTTATTTTGCATTATTTTTACATGTATGATGTTTGTGTTATCAGACTTTAAACAAGACAGGTATTTGTGCTTAAACATTTAAATTTAATGAAAATAGGATGTGCTGCAAGACCTTTATTCTGCAAACTTGGTGAGAATAAACTCTGAGTAGCTGTTTTTTGAGACTTGCAAGATCTCATTCTTGGTCTTGCACTGTATAATTCTTGGACTTGATGATTTTGTGAGAATTGTATACAATATAGCACACCGGTTTTAAATGTTCTCCTCTTTTTTTTTTTTTTCCTATAGGAATTGCGACTCAAATTAAAGTACATTTTACTGGTTTTCCTCTGTGAAAGCATCTAACCTGCATGGATTCCAGGGATCCGTTGTTTGGACAGAGCGACTCTCCTGCAGCCTTGCCCATCGCCGTGCGCCTCTCGGGCAGTTCTCCGTCATCGGCTGCGCCCGCTCGGCCACCCCAGCCGCAGCCTCACTCTCTAGAGGAGTTCCACCTGGTAGACCAAACTGGGCAGCCTCTCTATGAGCTGCAGCCCCTTGGAGGGCCTGGGGCACAGATGGTGAGTGTGTCTGAAACAGGGCAGGTGGTGTATTCGCAGACGAGCGAGCGCTTTGAAGAACTCTTTTACGTGGTGCTTGTTTGCTGTAACAGCAGCTGATTCAGACTTTATCTCTAGCAACAAGGTGAAACTTTTCAGTGGTTCAGTTCATGCTCCAGTTGCCCTTCCTCAGGTAGGCAAATTCTGTCTCCAGCCACTACTAATTTTACTAAACAACAACTTACATCTTTTGTCATTATTAAGCCTGGTGTTGTTGCGTGATGAGATCACATACTTTTACCACTACTGCTATCTCTATCTTCCCCGGATAAGTCTTTTGGTTTTTTGGGGAGATTGGAACATTAGCAATAAGCTAACCCATTATGTCTCCCTCCCGCCCCTAATTAATATGGTTAAAACATCACTTTCTAATTCTTAACACTTCTTTTGTAAAAAGGTAACTCTCTCACCCAGAGGTTTTGATTTGGCATGTGTTGTACTGGCACTAAAGACACTTCACTCATTTAGAGTGTAGTAAATCAGAAACAAGATAATATTTTATGTTATTCTAGGTTTTATAACATAGCTGGGAACAAGTCCTGTGAGAAAATTTACCATAAGAAGTTGTTTAAGTTTTCCAGAATTCTAGGAGATTTAATTCATATTTTTAAAAAAGTATTGTAGCTTTTCTTCCACCTGTTTTTGTGTAAAATACTGCCCATAGAGGCCAGTTTCTTAGGAGTAAAGGTCAAAATTTTTATATCTTGTGATATGTTTTATATGTTGTCCATGAAAGGGGTTACAGTGAATCTGACTATGAATGGTTTTTGATATCTTTAATAATAGTGGATTAAGTTTCAGATAGATGTGTAATTCACTGTAGAATCCTGTAAGTTTTTTTTCTTCTCGCCTTTAATCAACTGAAGGCCTATTTTAAAAGGGAGAAAGTAATTTTAAGAAACTGACAGTAAATAGACAGTTTCTTTATTATATGAAATCAAATTAATTAACAGGCCCTAATTCCCACAGAAATATTTCCTGTTCTGGTAATAAGCAAGCCCAGTCATGCTGCGTGATGATCACCGTACAGACTGTTGCCATTCATGTTTTTGTGCGATTGCCTTTACAGATGATTGTTGCCAGCCAGTCAGAAAATGGACAGGTGCTGCATGTCATTCCTTCTGCCCAGGCAGGAATGGCCCAAGTGATTATTCCTCAAGGTCAACTTCTGGATGTGACCAGCACACAGGGTGAGTTTAACCTGTGGGACTTGAGTGTGTGTGTTCCTGTGACAGCGCGTATCCTGCGTGATCTCTTTTGAAGAGCCTTGTTTGTATGTGTTTCCTTTCCTTAGTCAGTTATAAGGCAAAAATACATACTTACTGAATGGACAAAAGCCTTATGAAATACGAGCTATTATGCTCACTTTAGTTATGTAATGGATAAATTAAGATACAAAGCTGCTTCTCACCTTATTTACCATTAATAAGGGTATTTCTGCCAGGTCAGACAGCTGTACTGTCAGCTTCAAATTTTCTCTGTCTCTTTATATTGAGTGAAGTAGTTAGAAGAATTAATGTTGTTCTGGTTTGTTCCAGAGATTACTGGTGTCGATGCACCTCTTGTGAAGTCAGGAATGAAGTACCTAGGTAGAAATTCAGTTTGTTCCAGAGATTACTGGTGTCGATGCACCTCTTGTGAAGTCAGGAATGAAGTACCTAGGTAGAAATTCTAATTTCTAATGAAGAATTAATTCCTAATGAAGAAAATGAAATGTGTCTTTCACTTCATTGCTAAGTTTTTTTCTCTTCAGTGTGTTAACTCACATTTTAAGTATGTGGCGAGATGCACAGCTAGAAACATGAATTTTAAGTTTTTCTCTAGAAAAGGGATATGCTGAAATCTGGAAGCATTGATTATTTATCTGCAAGCCTTGCTGGGTGGCAAAGTGCTGTGTACTAGTTTATGTTCATAGAAAAGACTGAGAACTAGGTTGTCACATTTTGTTAAACTCTCCAAGAGTCTCCAAAAAAGAGCTGGGCTTCAAGTCACGATCCAGCCTTTTTTCACTTGCAGTTGGAATATGGTTTCATGACGTTGCATTGAAAGGCTTGCACCCACCCTAGTGCTTGCCCTTCCCTCCCTCTCCTCTTGCAGGGGTAAAACCACTATTTGGTTATAGTATTACATGACTTTAAGTTGACTGTGTGCCTTCAGTTACTAAAGAATTGCTGCTGCTTTTTGTAGGTAGTACCTTGCAATGCTGACTAGTATTTTTGTATTCCCATTTCTCATCCTATACAGGGCTCCCTGTTTGCAAATGGCTCAGTTTCACAGTATTTGAATATATGTTTTGCCACAATGCTACAGGGGTTTTTGTAGATTTTGTTGTTGTTGTTGTTTTGGGTTGGTGGTTTTTTTTTTTCTGGGGAAGACTTTATAGTTATTTGATCGTTAAAAAACAATTAGGAAGACTTATCAATGGTTTACTATGGAGATTAAAGGGGAAGAACAGACGGTCAGCCCTTGAGTTTCACTGCCTGCAGGTGGTAGTAATGCATGGAATGGCACAGGCTTCTGAGTAGACCTTAGTGTCTTAAGGGCACATCTATGTAGAAGGAACCAGTGGTTCGAGCTTTGAGCCAGAGTGGTGTTACTCTGAGATGCACACCTAGGAATCTTCTGACAGAAGGTTTAAAGTGGAGTGATTTCTGTACTAAGTCAATAGCACATCACTCTTTCTTGGCATGGGGGAAGGAAGCTTTTGTAACTGAAGGGCAAAAATCCCACATCTAAAGCGAAGTTCCTTTCCTTTATGTTGAGACTAAAGTATCAAATGTCTGCTTTCATAGTTTTCCATTATGTTTTTGTTTAACTGTACACGCAGGCTTCAATCTAAGAGTATTTTTGGCTTATGGATTTCTCCCTGTTATCAAGAAAGACTAAAACATTTATTCTAACAGCATGTCAAATTCAATTACAAGAGGCCCGTTCTTTCTTGTTTAGGTGTTCTTTTCTAAGTACAAAGCAGTATTATAATCTCCTTTTTTCTTATTTTTAAAAGCAACCAGTGTGTGATTTGCATCTGAACAAAATAATTGTGTAATCCTATATGGATTTTTGGAAATGTAAACCAGAATAATTTTAGAAGTTCTTCTGATTATTTGCTTTGTTGTGGAAGGATTCATTACCAGTAACAAGATTGCCAAAGCCCTTATTCAACAACAACCTTATCAAGTATATCTTCATATGTGTGCCTAGAATTTGAGTATTGATTCACTACTACTAAACTACTTTATCATCTAGAAATCTTATCTCATGTCAAAATACTTGCTTTTCCAACACACAAATTTGAATCATAGCTTGTCATTTCCCCGTTCCGAGTTCAGTTATTAACCAGGAGGATGTTTTATTTTTGCAAAGATGTTTCAGAAGAGAAGTGTGGTGATGGGAACTTGCAGACTGTGGCGGTGGCTGCTATAGCAGACAGTGCAAGCAGTTACATTCTACATCCACAGGCATCTCTCACCGTATCGAAAAAAACAGCCACCAGGTAGGTCAGAAGTTATAAGGATGAACAATTGCTTTGATCCAGTGTTAGTACTGCCTCTTGCAGTTTGTTTTTGCAATGGTTATCACAAAATTACCATAGAAGAGAGGTTTTGAACCCTTAGTATTAGTGAATGATGTGTAGTTAACTCTGTTTGTAGGCAGCTTTTGTATGTGCCAGAGCAGTGGAAAAAGTGATTGAAGTAGCTGTATTCCAGAGATAGTTGGATATATTCTGACTAGAGCAATAGGTGGACGTTTAAAGTAGCACAGGGTAAATTACTGAAATTACTCCAAATAGACACTGATATTGCTGACCAAGACTTGAAAGCAATCCAGTGAAGGAACTGCAGGGAAAGTATGAGGGAGCAGAGTTTCTTGTATGAGTATATTAAAAGCTATATAAACCATCCTCCCACAAGAAGAGATCAATTTTTTAGGTAGAGATTTCAATAGTTGGCATTAACAATCTTAACAATAGTTGATATTTAGTTAACAATTAACAATAGTTGACATTAAATCTTTGTTTTTCTGGATAACTTCTTCAGCTTTTTTTGATAAAATATGACAAAGTAGCTGCTAACAGTGTGATTCTGTGAAACACCTGGACAGGCAGATCAGTTAGCAAAGTTTCTAGAGTTAAAATAGTTGTTACATCTTCTCTTGATATCTACCTGATTGTATCCCTGTGCTAAGTAATGCCTACTATTTTAATTCCTGAATACTTGGGGATTTTTTTTTGCTTAAAAAAACCCACCCAAAAACAACCCAAACAAACAAAACAACAAAAATACCAACTAAAATAAAAATCCTGAAAGAAGCCTGTGGATTGCAGGCTGGATTTGCATTGATTTGTGCTTTTTTTTTGAAATCGAGACGTGGAAGAGATTAGAATAATCTCACTACAGCAAAAATTATATATATTCAACAAACATTTAAAGGGAAGAGAAACAGTTTGTGAACGGATTTTGTGAACACAGTCTGTACATGTTAGAAAAATAATCCTGGAAAGGAGACAGATTTGCATCAACAGGAGGTGATGGAATTGAATTTTGTGATAGCGAACATCGAGTAAGCATTGTTTCTGCCCCAGGTTTTGGGGAATGAAGAAACTACATACTAACTAAAAATAGTTATTGGAGCTTGTTTTCAGTAATTGAAAATGTATTAAAATGTGCATCTTTTAACAAGTGTTTGTTACTGGTTTTAATCTCTAGTATTTTAACATCAATCTGCGTAAGAAAATAATCAAGACAATCCACCAGTCTATTTCACCATATTTTGTCTGTTGTTGTCACGCAACAATACTGAGAAAACTGAATGCATAGAGGTCTTCTTGAATGTAGAAAACAGTAGGCTTTATAAGTACTTATATTTATTGTGAATTATTTTAACAATGAAATAAAATATGGAGAGAATGAACCCCAGATTTTTAAGGCAAGTTGATAAAATATCTATAGTTTGATCGTATGCTGTAGGTTTATACATAATGCACTGATTTGATATGTTATCTGTAGTTTAGATTAAATTGTTGCTTTTCTGGATGTCTGTGTAGACTTTTACTATATTTTTTTTTCATTTGTCAGGGTGGTGGAAGATCCCTTTCCTATCCCTCTCCAGCCATTGCCACCAAACACACCTGCATGGGCACGCCGTCTCAGGAACTGTGAGGTGGGCTGCAAAGAATTCTGACTTGATGCTTTATCCTAGATCTAAGATATCGATCCTATTCTATGAAAGGAGTAATGTTTATAGCTGTAGAAGTTGTGTTCAAGCTTCCTGGTATTATGAAATAGTATTGGTACTAGCTGGTACTACTAGAACATCTAACCACATTAAATCCTATGGAATCCCTTCCTTTTGGGGGAATACTAGAATAACTGACCATTAACAGTTCCCGAAGTAAAAAATGTCCTTTGGAAATCTTGATGCCATACAGTGCTGGGAAAAGCCACTGAGCCATACTTTCTGTGCCATGTTAGAGTTCACTCTTGAACTATGGTGCAAGCTCTGCTGTCTTCTATTGAGCAGACTGGTTTTTGTTGCCCTTAGTGACCCGTTAATTAAAGAAAAAAATTGCCTTTGTATGGCCTAAGTCTGCAATGGTTCATATTCATTTGTGTTGTCACTTAGAAATCAAAATCCGTGTGACTTACTGGGGTCAAATCTGCGACTTAACAGAGCATGTTAATGTCTGTGTTTTACTACGGATTTCCATTTCAGGTGTTCTCACAGGTTTTTGGTTGGGTTTTTTTTGGTTTTGGTTTTTTGTACTAACATGGTTACCTGTGCTTGCTTTTTCTTAAAAAATGATCTGTCTTTATTCCCTGTGATGGCTTTTGACCAAAACAGAACTCTATTTGCGTATTGTTAGATGTCAGCAGAAATGTCCTGATCACTGGAATAATAACAATAACTAGAATGCATCATAAATTCGTTAAAAGGGGATGGGAATTTTTGAGAGATCACCTCATGCTACCAGACCCTTTCTCATAGATGTTTATTTTATTTTCTCTTAATACCTTTAAAAGGAAAACTCATATTGTCTCTAGTTGGTTCACCTAGAATAGTAGGGATATCTAAAGGTTTTTCTTACTGGCTTGGCCACTGATAACTGGAAATTACAGTTGCAGGGACTTAGAAATGGAATTTCTTTCTGTTTCCACTTAGAAATATTTTTCAAATTAACTACATATATTAATCTACTCCTCTTTTTGTTATATGCCTTTTATTTCATATAAATGGTCGGAAAATTAATTAACACTAATTCTTCCATAGTGGAGATACTGTTTTCACAGAATAAATGAGTCACTTAATTCAAATGGCCAGTTAGTTGTTAAAAGTCCAGTAGTGTGTAGCCCCTGTTACTGTGCTTTTAGTATGTATGTGGCACATACTTTCCTGTCTTAATGTTAATGTAGCTTATTTGAATCATTTATTACTGGCTTCATTTTATAGGAGGACTTGTATTATGATCTGCTTGGTTTATCTGAATCTATTACAGGAAATTTCACCAGCTGTGTTTAAAATTCGCAGCAGCAGCATTTATAGAAGAGTACTTGTTTTTGAAGAAAAGAAAATCAAAGTACTGTGTGTTTGAATGTGTTCTGAGAATATAAACATCTGCCTCTGCTGTTTGGCATAACTGTTGCCTGTATGTGTTCATCCTCCCTGTTCCTTTAAAAAAAAAATATTATTTTGTTGCCGTTCTCCCTGCAGAGTCAGCCCATCCAAGCAGGAATAACCCACATTCTCTTCCTTCTTGTGTATTATCAGCAGAGTTTGCTTTGCTGAGTTTCAGTTACAGAGTGTAAATCCGCTGGAGGCTGCTAGGGTGCACGTGCCTTTTCACAGGATCAGACTAAAGACAATGGGATTTTGAGGTGTCATTTATCTTTCACGTACAACTGTCTTGCAGAATATTTTGTTACTACTAGTAACAGGATAGGAAGGTCCAACTGGAATTTGGAGAGCTAGTAGAGGTGCAGATAAATGTGGCAACTAACAATTCAACTCTTTCAGTTGCTTGCCAGAATAGAAACAAACAGTGCTGGGGTCTGTGTGAATTTCACAGAAGGTGCCAGCAGTTGAAGCCATGGCATAGCCTCAGTACGTGCTGCCAATCTGTTAGAAGAGATTTAGCTGAAAGCTAAAATTACTGAAAAGAGCCTTGGTTCTGTTTTACCTCAAACCAGGACACAGTTGTGTATCTGAGGGAGCTGGCCAAGACAGCTCCAAAGGGCGATGACTCCTCTGGCAGTTAGTACTTTAGGCAAACACAGAGCAGTAGGAGCTGCAGCAGCCCAAAATTAGCACTAAGCTCTGTGTTCTGCGTTGATTCCCTGACTGCCATGAAACACTCAGCTTACACTCACTGTGCCGAGGCGGCGTAATGCCTCTGGTATCTGCAGCCGGTTCACTCAAGGAAAACTGCAGTCTGCATATGTGTACTCGGTGTAAGCTTTTATGAACACTTGCTGAGATGAGGTGTAGGAGAGAGAAGGAATTGCTCCTTTTTTTGACTTGGAGCTTGACTACAGTTGAAGAGTTGGAAAGTACCAGATTACTTCAGGGTAATTACATTGTTAATAAAAAGTAGATTTTAAATTAAAAAAGAAGCTATTTTCTATAACCTAGCTAATTTTCAGTGATCTGATCGAAATGCGTTTCCAGCATGTATCAGCATGCTGAAATAGAATGTAATTAAAACCTGCACTTATTAATCAATTATACAAAGCTAAGTTCATTTCTTTGTGTGGTGCAGATGGTCTCATTTGTCCATTTGTTCCTACTTGGGAAGCTCCTAGAGAGCGAGAATAATTTGTGCTGTATGATTTTCTTCTCCTCATCTCCCCTCCCACCAATTTTGGGAAAATGATCTACCTTGTGCAGAATTAAAGCCAGAATAGGAGACGGTGCCTTACCTGTTATCACTACCTTTCTGGCACAACATTTTTATCAGTCTTCTCTCATCTCCCTAGAATAAGGTCAATGACCTATTTCTAGTGACAGGTACAAGATGTGGAAACAAAAGTGCTGGCCATGTGTGGATTGGTACTGTAATCCGTCTTGCAAAAGGGGGCATCCCAGGTTTCTGTAAAAAAGGTACTTCTGGTACTTCTCAGGCTGCTTTGCTTCTCCTGGCTTTATTCAGAGCAAGTTTTGGACAGAAATGTTATTTACAGTTTCTGGCTGAACAATTGCCAGCTTCCCTTTCTCACCACAGGTGTGTGAGCGCAGCCTGTGTAGACTTTTGTAGCTGCTGGAGTAGTGCAGTGAGCTGCTGGAGTATAGGCAACTGGTGTCTCAGAGTGACTCACACAGCCCTTGCATACATAACCCTCTGCTTTTGGGCTTGCACTAGCAGCAACACTCGGCTGGCCCAGTTCATTCACAAGGGCTGCATTTGTTCTTTGTTGACCTTAGGTCTTGCTAACCACAGACATTTTGGTTTTCATGGGTAGTCGACTATGAGGCAGGTTTTATGCAGTTGTCACTAAAATATTTGCGTGATAATACTTTTGGAGAGGGACTGTTGCTGCTTTTGTTGTCAGCATTGTTTAAACATCTGGCTGCTCTGTCATTGAAGGTAGCTAAATAGATCCATTAGTCCTTAGTATTTATTCACCATACGTTTGCCCCACAGGTATGCTGTAAGGCTGAGCTGGCAATCTGCTCTGGGAGTTACTTCCAGCTGCTTGGTCAGCCTGATGGTGAGCTGCATACGAACAGAAGCGAGCATGGCATTCTGAATTTGGGTGGAAAGCTCTTTGCTCTCCCAGTGCTTTCACCGCTTGCTGGCTGGTGCTGATAGACCAGCACTGAACCAGCTGTGATGGCTCTGAGTAGCTGAACGGCTGTCACGGGGATGTTGGAAAGTCAGCAAATTGTTTGTGTTTGTTTTTTTCTGGTTTTGGGTTTTTTTAAACTTTGAATCAGGTTAGGTACAGTTTTTCTGGAGTTGCCCAGAGCTTCAGAGTTCATTGAAACTGTCATCAGTTTGCACATGGCAAATCTGGTATATTACCTTTCTGTGTAATGTTGAGAATCAACAGTGCCTTGAAGAGTGGGAGGGGTGTTACGTGAGACATTCAGTTTTAAGTTAGTGCACTGAGTGTGGTGGTTACTGATGGTGCAAGCAGGTGTATCTGCTCCAGCTCAGTGCAGCGTGTGTGTGTGTGTTGAAGTAGATGCATTGACATTTTTAAGTGCTTCAGAGATTCTCTGTGGGAGTCAAGTGAAAAATGCTCACCCAAGGCGAAATTGTCTAGGAGGTGACTACAGCTGAAGTGTGTGGTGGGGGAAATGACAGCAGTGAAGTTGTCCTGTGGAAATCAGAGTTGGTAGTAACTAATCTTTTCAGGGGTTCTTGGTGTACTTAGCATCTTGAATGGCTGACAAACTCCTGACCTTGATGAGGACAACTGTGGTGTTAGCTCCTATGGTAAATCTATTTGTGAGGATACTAATGTGGGGGGAAGAACCCCCACAGAATGCCAAAAATCTGAGCCTGTGTCCTCACCTGCCAGAGTCCCTGACTGCTTTTGTTTTCTTGTGTAATGTTTAGCAGTCAGCTGGGTGAATAATCCTATTATTTCACCTCCTTTCCATGCAGAAAATTGGGGACTCGTACCGCGGCTATTGTGTGAGCGAGACAGAATTAGAGAGTGTTCTGACGCTACACAAGCAGCAGACACAAAGTGTGTGGGGGACACGCCAGTCTCCAAGCCCAGCCAAACCCGCCACACGGTTGATGTGGAAATCTCAGTATGTCCCATATGATGGGATCCCCTTTGTCAATGCAGGTAACTAACTTTTCTTTTAATAACTACTTTCAAAATTTCAACGTCAGTTGCCAGCTGGCCACAAAGAAGAATCTTTATGGTGTTCCTTAGCGTTGATAAAGTCAAGGCAGAAGCATAAAAAAAGAGCGGCTTGGATGACACAGGCTGAAGGAGCTTGTTTCCCTGGAACCACAGGCTTATGTTTTGTTGTGATTAATTCCTTCTGTTCTTTAGAAATAAATTAGCTAAGTACCATTTGGTGTGGGGGTTCTTGTGGCGAGATCTTTAGATGCAGGTCCCATCTGCTCTATTAGGATGTGAAAGTTCTCATAAGGGTAAGAGCTTGTTTGAGTATTCTTGCCTAAAGTGGAGATCCTTTGAAGAGTTTGTTCCACAGGAGCCAATAAACTATTTAAATGGCACATTTTAAATAAACCACCCAAAATTAAAAGCAAAACAAGAATCAGCATACCTCAGCAGACAGATTTTATTTTTATCTTTAAAATAAATGTGCAGGCTTCACCGGTTGGTAACTACATACTTGGCTCATGCAGTGCACCAATGTAGTTACTAAGAGTTCATTTGGATATGAAATGAGCAGGTTTTAATTGTTATACAGAGATCATGAGTGACTGGAATGTAGGTTATGCGCTTGTTGTTTTTTTTTTTCTGAAAGTAACTGAAAAATGAAATATTAGCACCAGTTTCAAAGCTTCAGCTGTAAGCTCTGGGGTATAAGAAAGCTAACATCAAAGTCAAAACAAGTTACACTTTTATTTTTTCCTCAAAATGCATGAGACATCTTTAGTTTCCTGTAAGATCTGCCTGATGAATGAGTTGCTCCACAGTAAGATATTTAGAGCAAAAACACATGTAGATTTTTTTTTTCTTTTAGTGTTGTATACCAATAGAGACTCAGCTAATTAAGTTGTAATATATCTTACTTTGCTCAGATCCCCAAACAAGCATTATGTATGTTTCTAATGTGTTGCCTTTCCAATATGTTAAGATTGAGTTTGTAACTCCTCTATTAAATTCATTAAAATCCTTTATATCTGTAGACCAGAGGCTGTAACTATAATTTACTGAAGTGCAGTTTAAATCCTAGATAACTGAATTCTAAACTGTGCAGGACAAAAATGTTGGTTTTGTGGAATTTATCCTTTCTGCATAAGTGGAACCAATCTGTAATACCTTCCCTGCTGCATGTCAGCTGTGGGGAAATATAGAGAAGCTGGGTAGCTCCCTATAGTGTGAAACATGCACTAGTCATCAAAATCTTAATTATTATTTTTAATAAGAATTCTGGAGAGTTGAACTTTTGTAAAACAAGGGCCCCATCAAGATGCTTTTAAGAGTCGTATTAGTGAGGACTAGTTTAAAGCTGTCTTTTCAATCCTAGAACTTCCATTTTAAGTTTGTTTTTAAAAGAGAGACAGGATATCTCTATGTTATACTTAATTCTTTTTTAAATTTCCTATTTACTTACTTGCACTGATTTTTTTTAAATATTTTTGTTGTATTTTTTTAAACGTTACGCTCTAATAAATCATAGGGTATCTTATGGAAGCACATTATGTTGCTGTTGTGATACTTTGAAGGTTTTGTTTACATCACTTGTTGTATAGGCAGATGCTTGCCTGCATACTAGAGTATATGAATTACAAATAAAAGATAATTAAACATGATGTGGAAGAAATTTGGAAAAAGTTCTTTCTTGACCGTTTTAGTGTTATGCCTGTTACACGTTTTGTTAGGGGTCTGACTGGAAGAAGTCACTTACTTCAAGTTTAGAGCTAAGCAATATTTGTTTAAGCCTGTCTGGTTTTGTGTGGATATGCCACGCTGAAACAGTTCTATTTAGCAGATAAGATAGGTCAGACTTGCAAATAAGAATTTATGGGACAGCATGGTCTGAAGTATTGATTTAAGACAGGAGGCTGGAAGTAGCTGCTGACCTTTGATTTCAGCTGTGGATTTTCTGTTATTTTGGGGATTCTGCTTCTCTTATGTTTATTACCAGCATTGTGCTCATTTGGTAACTTGCAAGGCTGCGCATCTGGTAATGTACAGGTGTTCACCAGGGCAGAATCCAGTATTTTTCCTTTATGTATTGCAAGAGTGTTGTGAGGTGTAACAAGTTTGGGAAATGCTTTGAAAATGCTCAGTGTTCCTTACATGCTGTGAGAGAAGCGTTTACTGTATTTGAATGCTTGCTAAAATTAAATGTTCTGCATTCTGAAGAGTCTGATGGTAAACAGAAATAACTGGTTTGGAACTCTCATCTTTTCTGTAGTAACTGTGTTACTGTAGTGGCTTCAGTGATTGCATCCATAAATAGAGTACGTTACTTTCTGTTCCCAGGAAGCAGAGCCATTGTAATGGAGTGCCAGTATGGGCCAAGGAGGAAAGGGTTCCAGCCCAAAAAAGCTGGTGAGCAGGAAAGCACCTCTGGCCATCTGTACAAAGCTACTTGTCCAGCAAGGTAAGAATTGTCTATAAAGCTGGAAGAGCTCCTCAGCATCCTAAGAAAGCGTTCTTTCTGTGAGCCTTAATGCTTTTGGCATTGGTAGCTGGTGCATGCTGTAGCTCTCAGCTTTATCTCCTTGATAGCTTGAGGTTGATACTCAGAGTGAAAGAGGAAATGCTGTCCTGTTAAACCGAATAAGGCTGAGATTTGATAGTTGCCTGGATGCAAAGTAGCAGTACATCAGGATATGAAGTACAAATGGGAATCATTCTTCACCTGAGCATTAGTTAGTTATGGTGGTCACCATTTTTGGTCCCATTTGTTGTTTTTCTTTCAGGCTTTTAATTGCACTTGTATCAGTCAATCATCCTAATTTTGCAGATTTGCTGATGGAGTTACAGTTCTTCCTCTTCACTGGGGACTTTCTCCTTATCCAGTACATTTTTTTCCCTTGTCCTTGAGTATCCTCCTGGGTGCTTGTTCAGTTTTTACTGGGCTAAGAGTGCTTACCCAGACAGCTGCAGCTGGGTATGTTTGTGCTCAATTCTGGCTTCAAGCTGGGTGAGCTACATCTTGTTTAGCAATGGTGGTGTGCTTTTACTGTACAGAGGAGCAGAGGATTTTTGCTGAGGTGTAAAATCACTCTGAGTGGCTTCCAAACTGGAACAGAAGTGTGTATGTCTGCATCCATCTGCATCTACCTCTCTTTATGTGTCCTTAACAATTCTACAGTTCTCTTAGAAACTCCTCACCCCCTGCAACACTCTGCTTGAACTTTTTCTATACTAATATCCGATACAAAGTAGGTGGGATTTTTACCTTCCCCCCTGAGAGCAAAATGTACTGAAGGAGAATTATTTTTTTTTTATTCCCTCTCTTCCTTGGAAGGATCTATATTAAAAAGGTTCAAAAGTTTCCAGAATACAGAGTTCCAACTGACCCTAAAATTGACAAGAAAATCATAAGAATGGAGCAGGAGAAAGCATTCAACATGCTGAAGAAGAACTTAATAGATGCTGGTGGTGTCCTCAGGTGAAACTTCCACTTTTTTCTTTATCTTGACAAATACAGCAAAAAATAGCAATAATTTGTTTGTCTTGCTTTGTTTTTTACTTGTCACTTTACTAAGGCTCTTGCTTAATATCGATAGTGAAAAATCCCACAGTGTCAATACAACTTCTGTGGCTCTTGGAGTATTTAGTTTGGTTACAGTGTTAAGCACCAAGCTGTGGAACTTCAGCAGATGTTTTCATGCAGGGAATAGATAGAAATAGTTGTTGTATTTGGGAGGTTGAGCTGATTTATTTCGCATTGAAAGATGTGAGGGCCCTGAGCTCTGAAAGGCAATATCTTCCACCTCAGGGGCTCTAAAAACTTAAGTCACTCTAACTAGGTTGTTTGTGATTGTCACACTGTTCCCCAGGAGACTTATTTTTTTGCCTTTGCTTGAGAATTGCATGTAGAAACTCTTTCCTTCTTGCTAGGTGGTATGTACAGTTACCCACTCAGCAAGCCCACCAGTATCATGAAATGGAAACTTCTTGCCTCCCTTCTTCACCGTCCCATTTTTCTGTGTCTTCTCCTGAGGAGGAGGAGGAAGTTGTTAGAGATGAGAACTGTACTCTGCCTTCCCGACTTCATCCTCAAGTGGCAGACAAGATCCGAGAACTGGTGTCTCAGGGAATAGAGCAGGTCTATGCTGTGAGGAAGCAACTAAGGTACAGAACTGTCTGGCATAGTCTCAATCTGTGGTGCTGTATCTACTTCTGCATTTGATTAATTTAGTTTGCAACTAAATGGCAGTGCTCATGCATTACTCAATGTATTTCCCATATGTCATGAGAATCTGTTTTTCCCATCTTTTGTTTTCTCTTTCCATTTTGTTCTAGATAGCCACTAAGAGCTGCTGTCTTCTTTAAAGTTAGTTGAATAAATGGAGATTTTTTAACTCTGAACTCTAGCAGATGCTCAAAGAACTGGGTCAGAAGATGATCCAGTGTGCCCTTGTCATTGCAATAAAGGGGGGAAAAGGTAGCAGTGTCTATAACAGGGAAATAGCACAATATATTTTAAATATGTATATTTGAATATCTTTTAACACGTGACAGAAAGTATGTGGAAAGAGAATTATTCAAGCCTGATGAAGTGCCAGAAAGACATAATCTGTCCTTCTTCCCCACTGTGAATGACATCAAGAACCATATTCATGAAGTGCAGAAATCCCTGAGGAATGGCGAGATGGTGTATAATTCAGAAAGTATCCCAGCAACGGTATGTTGGCCTCTGTGTTTCTTCTTGATTTTTTGGAGTTGGATACTGGAAATCTTACTCTTAATTTTTACTGCTTAGCTGTGTTTCATCCAAAATTCTCTATGATTTTCAGCAGCAATATTTTCAGTGGAATCTGTGGAAAATCAAGACTGGATTAAATGTGAATAAAATATTCTGACCTTATTCAGTATTTATCTCATTAGCATTTAATTGCTATTAGTTGATTGACAAACTAGACAATGCTAGCACTTCATGATGACTGCATGAACTGAAAGCCATGTGGTGTAGAAAAGTTGGCACACATCAGAAAATTTTATTTATGGCTTGTCATTGTGTTGTGGAGAATTTACTACTACTTTTCCATATCTGAAAAATGGGGATGAAGTATGTCTCAGGTGCAGCCTAAATTAGGGCATGCAAAACATTTTGAATGTGTAAATATTAATAAATGCACTTCATAGCAAGTGAAGTAAGCATGAAGTAGATACTTCAGAATGCTCAGTAATTCTTAAGTGTTGTTCCTTTAATTTTCTTCCACCTATTGAGTAATAAGGAGTGCACAGTGATCCTAATTTTCCTAATTATGAGGCTGACTGCTAAGGAGTTACTGATTTAAAATCAGCTTTGACAAACTATATGGTTAAATCATGCTGTTTCATCAGTCTTTTCCCTCTCCCTACACTACTCTTGGCCCAGGTGAGTGGGTGATACTTTTTAGTTAGCCAGATGGTTTGACTATTTTCTATTTTAAAGTCTTTGAACTGTCATGGGCAGACACTAGCTTTCCTGCTATAGTGCATGCTAAAAAAATGTTTTTGGTATTTTTTGCTTTTAAACCCAGAGCTCCCAAAATGCATAGTTATAAGAAAATAAGGAAGTGTAGTTTTAGACACTGTTTTCCTGTGGGTCCTGTATTGAGCCTATGTTCCTGTAGTAGACAAACTTGCACCCTTTCTGAGAACTGAGATCTCTTTCCTTTCAGCTGCAGTGGACCACAGACAGCGGGAATGTTCTCACAGAAACAGTGACTGTTACGTTTGCGTCACCACCTTCAGATGGTAGGACTGCATTAATAACTTTGCTGCCTCCAAATGTGATTTGTTTTATTAGCTATGTCACAGAAGTTCAGTTTCTTTCCAGAGACGACTTTGTCGTGTCCTGTCACTCAGCTGTGCTTAAGAAGGGTTATTTTGGCGTGTCGGTTTTGTCATACTTTTTTTTTTTTAACTATTTGACTGCATGTGTGGAAAGATGCGTGGACTTGTGATGGGGTTGGCAGAAGTATGAAAATTATAAATTTTACTTTTATTTAGCAACCTCAAGCAACTGAAGATTTTAATGGGATGGTTATTGTTGTGGTTTGGGCTGGACTGGCCACTGAAATGAACAACAGATGCTCTCTCCCACCTCTCTCTCCAAAGAGAGAAAGAACATTTTGCCTTGGATGAAGGTGCTAGTAACGCCTGTGTAGACAGAATTAAATTCCTGCTGGACAGATATTGTGTCAAGGCACAGAATATCCAGGAGCCAACTAGGTACTTGAGTTCTTTGGTGATTTGTGCTTCACACATGCTTAAACGTCTTGCTAAAGAGGACTTGCCTGCATATTGGGATTCCTGCTTCTCAAAAAGTCATTGGTTTGATGACTTCCACTGCTAGGATCAGGCCCTGAAGAACAAACACTGTATTTCCGATATTCTGTCAGAATTGAGAGCATTCTTATCCATTTTTCTTAATTCTTACGATAGAACTAGAAACACAGGTATTTAGTAGCAGCAGGGCTGTGAGATACGCTTTTTCAGTTCTTAATGTGGTGTAACTTCTTTATGTGAGAAGCTGAAGTAGCATCTCTTCCCAGTTATTGCTGAGCCACCTGATGAAGTATTAAACTTCCTCCCGCTCTGCTGCAAAGCCAAAGTGTAGATTTCTGTAGAAACTTTTTTTCCACTTAAAAATGTGGTTATGTGTTCGCGCACATTGCAAACACATCTTTGTTATTTGTATTACAAGTCTAAGCAAAAAAAGAAACCTGACTGAAAAAATCAACTCTCTCAATAATGTAGATGAAGTGGTAGCAAGGAAGAACAGCCCTGACTTTTTAAACTACTGTTTGTATGCATTTTTTTTTTCATTTCAGCTTGTGCTGAATGGGGAGAAAATTATATTTAAGAAATGAACAATAACAGAACTAAACGCAGTTGGTTTTTTTCTTGTTGTGCAGAACTCCCTATCTCCATGTGATACAGCTTTCTCTGCTCTCTCCTAGGTGTAACTATCAAACTTAAGTGTGTTCCCTTTTATATCTTCTATGAAGTATAATCACAACTGAGATAAAGTACTCATATTTTTAATTTTTTTTTAACTTGTGGCATTCATGCTGAATGCCCATGCAGTGTAAGGCGTGGGTAGATTAGGAGCTTTATTGCTAGCTATTTTGGTGCAGAATACAACTTAAGGAAAGAACTACCATCTCTTCCTACATGTGAATATTCACATAAACATACAGGATTTCTGTATGGTATTTAAAAGAGCCTAAATATTTGAAGGAGTTGTGTTCGAGTCTGCAAATCAGTATATATGTTGAAAAATATATCTCCACTCACTTAGAGTGCTGGAAACTTTGTATGATTTCCTGCTAGAAAGCTTTTTGTGATTGACCATTCTCAATTTTTTTTTCCATTCACCAGGCTAATCTGCATACACAGGGCAAGCTCTTCTTTTACAGTTAAAGCAGCGAAACAGCAAAATAACAGGTTAAGCAGTATCTCCTTGTGTCTGGATTAATCTTATCCAAAATGTTCTGAGTGGCTCAAACAGGAAATGGAATGATCCCACGGGAAGTTTTCTTGCAGAAATTGCTACAAGTCAATCTCAATTTTTACAAGTCTTCAGGAAATGAAGTCCATTATTCTTGCATTAAATAAAGATTTTGAGGGTATGATGTAATCTGTAGGCTGAAAGTCCTCCAGATAAATGGACTTCTGTGTGATATTGCATAGAAGTTATCCTAATTTCATGAAGAAGTTTGGGAGTGATGGGACTTAGAGGATTTCCTGTGTAGATTTTTATTTTAGAAGACAACTCTTTATTTTGATGCCTGTCTGTTATTGAGTCCTTGCTGAGCTGTATGTATTGTCAAGTTACTCCATTGCTGCTTTGATAGAATTTTTTCAGCTTTTATGTTATAACTAGAAATCGAAAGCACGGGTGAGGTTGTAATTTCTTTGCTCTCCAAAATGGATTTACTGGTGCTTCTTTTTTAACTCTGAACAGGCGTATACAATCCTCCTACAGTATTGTCTTTGTCTCATACCCAGCCTTTTTTCTTTAGCATCCAAGTTCTTCTGCAAAAACAACATATATGTATAACATGTCTTTTAAATGTCTATATTGAGATTGAAGGGGTTTGTTAAATTTGCGGGGGAGGCTTTTAAATGGGAAGAAGAAATTTGTTGTAACTGTCTGCTTCCTCTCTGTGGTACTGTAGGGAGCTCAGCAGGGGAGTCAGTTGTCACCAAAGCTGAATCCAACCAGAGCGGGGAGTCCCTGCTACCAGAAACAGCACAGCTGTTGTCTTCGCTCTCTTCGCTTCAGCCCAAGATATTTGCACAACTTCAGGTACAGTCAAGTCATTTACAGAATGTCAGATGTTCTGTGCTGGGAATGTGAAGGTGAGCTGAGAACAGCAGATTCCCTCCCAGCTAGTGATCCCAAACACTGGCTAGGTAACACAGACTTTGAACTAGCTGTCAGCTCTTCCTTTGGCCTCTCTTGCATGTCACGTTTAGCATACAGCTGTGGTGCAGGGCATCCCACTACTGTCTTTTGACACTTTGAAGTTAGGGTATCTTGTGAAGGCGAAAGCCAAGAAGTTGAAGGTAGTAGGCCTCTTCCTCAAACCAAGCACCTATTTGTTTTCCAAGTGGTCTAGTAATTTAATAATGAAAATGTTGCAAAAGTGAGGGGAGATAGGTCAGTCTTATTTAATCCTTTTAAATCTTCCTCCAGCCTCTTAAGAAAATATGTTAAAAATCCTAAAACTGTTCCCAGCTCAGATCTGTAAATTTCCAGGTTGAAAGGCTGAAGAGTGGGGATGAGAGTGCTATGCTAAAAGAGCTTCTTCTAAAGCTCTTCTCCCTTCAAAGCTGGCTCTCCTAGCCTTTTTACCTAACTGCTTATTTGAAAAGCTGCCTTCATACTTCCTTTCCCAATGAAACACATGATTCCCTCCCTAGAAATACAGTCTGCAGTAAGGTGCTTTTCTTACAGTTTCCCTCTCCTTCTGAAGACAGCCTGAGTCCACCTTGCTCTATTTTAAAGGGTTTTAGTGCCCTTCTCTTGTGGGAATGGGCAGTATTGGGAAATGATTTGAAAATTAGTATCAATCCAGAATTAGACCTTAATGGTTATTAAGTAGTCTTCTAAATACTGCTGGATATCATTGTCCTAATTGTTTTCTATACAACTTCAGCCTAGTGTTGCTGAACTGACAGTTCAAGAGAGATGATGTATAGGAAGTCAGAAGCTATCCAGGTTCCATCATTGCAAAATATGTGCCATTAAATGCAAATTCCTCCTGCTGCAAATACTGGTATGTTAGTACATGTGCCTTCTCTTTCACAGGGGTTGCAGCTGCAGTCAACTTTTACCTCCACAAATGGATCAACAGCCCTGATAACTGTAAATAACCATTCCCCTCCCAGCCCTGTGAGTCTCCTGGATTCCATAGGGAGTGCAATAAACAACCATTCTCTAGCACTCAGTCAGGGACACAGTCTGCAAGCAGGTGCTGTCCTAACACAGCATAGTGCTGCTGCCTCTGCTTTTGGGACTCCGCCTGGCTCTGATCAGAGTCTGGTCACCATGGGCCAGTTGGTAGCAGTTGGAGGGGTAGATGACTCCAGAAGCCTAGAAGGAGGAGTCCATCAGATTCTCTTGGGAGATGTGCAGGCTATTCCAGTACGGATTGTGGACAGCCATCCAGCACTTAGTAAGTTGCAGTCTTCCCAATAATATGTAAATATAGAAAATACAGTGGATTTTGTTCTCTGTGTCTTGAAGAAAGGAGAGAAATTTGTTAATAATGGGGAACTCCAGCACAGACTTCTTTCAGCTGATCCCAATTAGTTTATTGGTTTTTCTGTGAAAACATGCAGACGGTAAAAAACCAAACCAAACCCCCCCCAACTTAGTTTTTGCTGTAAAAAGATGACTCATCTCTTTCTTTGTCTAAATACCAACTTATTTGATGAAGACAACATTTTTGCTAAAAATCCTCGTATTTACCTAAAATTATGATCTTCAAAATAATGTTTTAAAACAAAAAATAAGACTATAAAACAACTGTTACTGAATCTAGTTGGGACTCTTCAGAAAGAAATGTGGGGATTTTTATGACTTTTTTTCTTTGCACTATCCCAGCAGATTTTTGATATTTTTTAATAAACTTCTACTAAGATCATGTAGTCGTCAATATACTTTAGCAATGATCAGTTGGAGTTGTATGTAATTGCTTGGAATTTCAAACTTCTGTTTGAAAATACTTTTTAAAAAAATACGCAATAAGCACCGTAAATAACTTTATCAAAATAGAAGGCTCCTTAAAACCATTGTTATCAAATACAGATAGAGCCTTTGAATTCTCAACCATGGAACCCAATTGAGAATGAAAGCTTGCATTCTCAAAGAATGCTTTCTAATTCTTGGTGAAGAAAACCTATTAGATATGGAGCCTGTGTAAATCAGTGCAACATATCCTTTTGACTTTCCTGAGAGTCTGAAATGTTACCTGTGCAATACTTTATTTCTTCTCTATTATCTTCTCTTGTCATCTGTGACTTCTGAAAAGATGACTCGAGTAGTTTTGCAGGAATGTCCAGGTAAGATGTGCTAGACCATAACTTACACCTTCATAATGTCATAGCGATAATTATCTCCAGATATCCTGATGACCTGATGCAGGTCAGCAAAATGTAACTTGTACTAAATTCTATAATATTTTGAAAATGGAATTTAAGGCTACACAAAGAAATAAAAAGAAAATAAAGGCTACATGAGGAAATATACTGAAATTCGCACATGTTAAAGTAGTATTGGTATGTTTTACTGTGGCAGTATTGAAAAGTTAAATTTAAGGGGGTTTCTGCCTGCTGTACTCCAATGTTTGTGTAACTGGTTGTTTTCCCTTTTATAATTGAATTTGACTTATCTCCTGAGAAATTCTCTTTTTCATTCATGGTAAAAGAATTTCAGAGAGGTTATCAAATGCACCTCCTCCATTCAGTTGTTTAACCCATTTTTTCAATCTAGATGTTGATGCCTCTTAAAAATTTTTTTCTAAGTGATAAGTGTTCCAAGTGAATTTTTACAGAAATAGTATTTTACATAAAAAAGAAATGTAGTCAAATGTAAAATTCTGTAATTGCAAGGACTAAACTCACTGTTCCTTTGGGATCTCCTTTTTTTTTTCTGCTCAAGATCTCAGTCTATCATCACCAGCCTGAATTTGAAAATTGTGAGAATATTGTGGGGGAGTTACCTATAAAATGCACAGATACTCTTTCTTTTTTTAGAGGCAAGTTCTTTATCTGGAAAGGAGGACAAAAACTAATCTAGACTGAAGAGACAATAATGTTAGAGAGCTTACTGGGAGGAAACAGCATATACTTGAAAATAGCAGTTTAATCAATGTGTATTTCAAAGTATTTTTTCTCGTCTGTGTGTGCATATGCTTATTGCACACGTGTGCTTGGTTAAAATTGTCCTGTATGTTCTGGATTTTCTCTTGTCCAAGTGCTAACTTAAGAATAAGCTGTTTCCTGCTGAAAATGTATGTACAGTCATTGAGAAGTGGCCAGTAAAGGCTGAAGTGCAAGTCATTCTCTAAATCAACGTGCTTTAGAGATTTTTTTTTTTCAACAATAGCACCTCCATTCCTCCTTTTCTTGGCAAAGATGAAAAAAAAATGGTAGCTTTATTTTTCCTTGGGAAAGAGGAAAGACATTTCACGAGAGTAGTTTTATATTTCCAAACATAGTGGGGTTTTCATAAAATATTTCAAATATTCTTACTTGAGAGGGCCCTTACTGCAGTAAATTCATGTCAACTTGCAGTGTCTTATAGCACAGTAGATGACAACTGACTGTCAAACTAAACAGCAGTTAACTTCACAAATGCTTTACCTATTAGCTTTAGTTCCTGAAATATTTTTCTTTTAAGTGCATACAGTTATTAGGGTGAAGCTTTATCAGTGGAGTGTGAACTTCAGTGATTGATTTTTGTTTTGTTTTTAAGCTGAAGAAAATACGGAGGGTGTTATCTGTGTGAGCCAAGTTAAACAAGAGCCAAGAGAAAAAGCATTGTCTATGGAGCCAGATAAAATCAGAGACTGCCACAGTTCCTCACCCATTTAAATCTGTGAAGCCTGGAAAGATTTTACAAATCGGCGAACTCTAAATGTCTTGGAAGGAAAGGCAGGTGCTCTCAAAGTGATGCCACTCTTCTAAAGTCGTACTGTGACATTCAGACCAGGCATGTTTTATGCTAGTTCTGACAGACAGCTGTTTTGATATATGAGTGATGCAGCTCACTGCCAATTCCAGGTCATTCAGTTGTCCTGTGGAACACCGCCTTTCTCTACTATTTCAAGTTTTGAATAATCTGGATGCTATCCAAATGGCCCATTTTGGTCGACATTTCTGAATGTCTTCCACAGTTTAATTCCTTAGCTTTAGAATATGGATCACAATGCTGGGTTTCCTTTTCTCCTTGAGGCCCTCGACTGTTACAGCACTACAGAGACCATAGTATCTGCCAGCTCCACGACCACAGAATCCAAAAGCAAAGTGTATGAATACAGCAGTGTTTTTGTGACTAAATGAAGATCCAAGATGCTAAATTTCAAAGTGATGAAGGACATGGATGCTTAAGAAAATGCAACTTTGACCTGATTGTAATGTTAATGGTGTGAAGATCAAGGCGAGGAAAAAGGTGAGGTTGCCAGGTGAACGTAAGGTTGTATGATGAAGAAAAGTTTGAATTGTAACAGGGAATGTTTTCAACTTTGACATCTTTAAGCTTATATTCTGGCTTTATAATGAGGTTCACTGCTACATGCAGCCTTTCCAGTGGTACTGTATTAGCAGTTTGTCATAACTAAAAGCAGGAGTCTTGTCTCATGGGAAATGAGAGATGCTGCCATTTCAGCGTATCTACCTTTTGCTTTATGCACTTATGCTATCAGCTCAGATAAGTACCATTTAGCCTGCTGCTGTTTGTGATGTAGGGCCTACGGATACATGACTAGCAAAGAGATGCCCAAGAAAACAAGGCAAGTAATATAAATCCAAGCAATATGTGCAAGTGTGCTGTCACTATAACATTCAGAAAACAAACTCATCTCTCAGTGGTGGCAACTTCAAGACTGAAGTGGTCCGCATTACTTAAAATAGTTACCAGGAACCTTTAAAAAACTGAGTATGATAAAAGATATGAAAGTCTTTTAACCAATATTTAAGCCAAAGCCATAATAAGTGACAAACGCTGAGTTGTATCATCTGTGACAGACATGTTTCTTTAAGAAAAAAAAATATGCCTACAAATAATTTGGAATCCTTTGAAAGCAGTAAATTAAATCAAACTGATGCCGATATAGATATCAAGTTAAACAATGGCATTGTTTGCTTCAGATATTGAATTCTTAGAGAAACATTCAGAGTATTTTGTATAGAGCAATATCTGCAGTTCTGTTATTAGTTGCTACTAAGTGTTTGAGAACTTGCTCATAAAATTAGATTTTTTTTCTGCATGCTGTACAAGAATGCAATTTGAGGACTTTCTCTTTTTCAGACTTAAAAAAAAAACCACACAAAAAAACCCCAACACCAAAAAGAAAAACAAACAAACCCCAAAAACCAAAACTGGAAAAAAGATTGGCTCATTTATGTAGAGGGGAAGTGTTAGGAATATTTATATGAACATGAAAATTGGCATTTTACTATTTAAATTAATTTAAATATTTAAATATTTAAATTTGTTAACATAAAATCAAGACATTCATAAACATCATCTAAATAAAAGATCAATTTTTCATTTTCTTTTGAATATTTAAAGCAAAATCTTTCAGAAGTCTCACATTGAACTTGGGTTCCAAATCACAGAATTGCCTAGGTTGAAAGGGACCTTTAAGATCATCTAGTCCAACCAAAATAAAATAAAAAAAAAATACCAACACTAAACCATCTAATACCTCTATAGGCAGCATCTTTTAGGTAGGTGCAATAACTTAGTCTTACCTTAAAATATATTAACTTCTATGAGGTTAACTAATGCTGTTAATGCTGTTCATTTAAAGCTAATGTTTGTGGATTAGCTTAAATTAGAATTTTCCAACAGGGTCATGCTCTTATTAAGTAAGAGTCAGTATTTTATCATGCAAGTGCGTGGAGAATCTCCAGTTCTTTGGAGCCTTTCATACTTCGTTTTTACACTGACTTGTTTTGTGTTACGGCTTACTCATTTCTGGGTAGGTAAAAATCCCACAAGGTTCACCCTTTTGTGGTTTGTTGTTGTTGTTGTTAATTGTTAAATGGATGTTCTCTGCTGCAGTCAGTTCTGGAGTACACAGGCAACAGTTGCCTTTTCTTTTCCAATTCAGTAACCGTATACCAGAATGGGTGCCTACTTCCACTCTGCTGTATTCAGTGATTCCATCACCTTTGGTTTTTCTTAGAGTTTAAATTAATGCACTTCAAAGTATATCACCTTTCTCAATATTACTAATTTTTGAGAGTTTTTCTTCATTTTTGAGAAAGCTGTAACTTACTCTTTTAAGAATAAGCAAAAGATTATTAGCAAGAGGTTATTTCAGTTTTAGTTCTTATCAAAGCAGACAATATGTTTGTGATTGGAGTAAAAGAGAAGTTATATTTCCACCAGTTTTTGCTTAATTCCCTCATTAACAGATCTGTTCTTTAACAGTCACTGTTCCCACCATAGCTACAGTCTCATCCTGTGCTGAACAACATTTCTGTTGGTACTTCTATTTTTGATTTAATGCTCACAGCTGGAGGAAATACTCTTTTAGTCCATCTTGAATTGCGGGCTGTGAAATGAGTTCTATAATCGACCCTGAAAACAATAGAACAAAAAGTTGGGAGAAATTTAAAGAACCAGTAAATATTTTGTTGTTTTTAAAAGCTGGGGATGAGAGTTGCAATTCTGTTAATTGAAAAAAATTATTTAAATGCTCCTTCAGCCAATATGTTTTTGTTTTCAGGTTTCTTCTTTTTCACAGAATTTCAGCTCTTTGTCTTCCAAATGCATATTCCAGTCTATTACCATGTTGTGTTTTAATTTAGTGTAACCTTTCCTCTTTAAAGAGTATGTTTACATTTCTTCTGTGTGTGTTGCTAATGGGGTAACACAAACTCGTCACCTATATCCGGTCTCTGTAGTCAGCTTAACACCTTAGTTCACTAATTTCCACCTAAATTTTACAAAAAAGGCTCTTTTATGTATATGAAAAAATCAAAATGCTATACCACTTTCAATGCACTTAAATTTGCATAGAGTCTTCAAGGCTGATTTTTCAGAGAAGGCTATGGTGCAAAGTAGTTGGTTGTTACTTTGTGTTGGAATTGTAGATGTTTTTCTGATGTTTACTTTGTTTTCTTGTGGTTGTTATGTTCAAGCATTTATTTTGCAAGCTAGAAATCCTGAGCTTCCACACAGTACTGTAAATGAACAAATCACTCTCCGATTTATCCTCATTGTTGGTTACCCGTAACAGTGATTGCTTGGCTTGACAAGAAGGGCTGTGCTTATGTATGTGCATGCAAAAATATTTTTTTTGCTAAAATGTAGAGAAGATATAAAAAGGGCACGCATCCAAAGCTCTCATTCAAGGCTGGCAACCTCTTGGATGGAAACCAGTAGTGGTAATGAGTCCTTTACATGCTCTTCAAAAATCCAGGTTTGGTCATGTTGTATGAAGATTGTTGCAGTTTGTACAAAATTTAAGAGACAAATGTCTGTATATGTATGTATATATATTTATATAGTAACTTAATGTATAATATTGCTATTCAAATGTAAACTACTTTTTCATTTAAAGTAATGGTCTATGTTGTGGTTATGGGGGCTCATGGAGAGAAATACAAAAGCTACTCGGGGGCAGTGGTTTCTGGGGATGAAGGAGAACAAGTAGGACAGCTCCAGGGAGACCAGGAGGAAGAAGGTTCTGAAGGTGTGTGAAAGGCAAGGGTCCTGCAAGGAGGGCTGGAGGGGGCTGTGCTGGGGGAAAGTCCTGGGCCCCAGAAATAGAGCCCATTGTAAAGGCTCTGTACAGCTCCTGAAACTATGTCAGTAGTGCATAGGGTGAGTTCATGGTAGGAATTTTAAAGCATGGAATAAAAGGAAAGTGTCCTGACCTCAAAACCAGCAGAGCTGCTTGAGTTTTGGTGAATACCAGAGGAAGCTAAATGATGTCCCATAGTCTGAGACACCTGTTCATTTATTCTAATAAGAAACTCCCCTTAGACCTTCAGCCCAGGAGCGCAGACTCCTTTCCTTTACGTGTTACCAAGGAAAATACACCTTTTCTTCCCAACTGAATTAACTTGCTGCTCTCCTCATCCCTCTGACTGCAGCTCTGGCTACCTCAAGCATGCTCAGTATCTACCCAAGTCTCTCTTCCTCCACACTTATTAGGGCTTCCACTCAAATTCCATGCTCTCAGGCCCTCCAGTTCCCAATGTTTCACTGTTACGCTGTTGAAGCAGCTGGTGAGTTCACTGCACAACTAAATACTGATGAGATGTTTTCCTGTCAGTCTTTTTTCCTGTCTCCCCGGGATCCTAAGTCTGTATGTTCCTTTAAAGTTCATTTTTTTTTCCGTGCTTGGTTTGGGTCTTATCCTTACCTGGATGAATATTAGGCAGCTACATTTCACAGGTCATTTGTTACATTCACAGCAGCTGAAAGAGTTGAGAAAACAAGGTGAAAAGGATAATTTATACCAGCTGTTAGGGCTTTAGGTTGAGAAACTGGCCTCTTTCCTTTCATACTGCTTGAGTTCCTGGTTCTGGCTGTGGAAAATAGCTCGTTGGTGAATCATCTGCCTGTTGGCAAACTTAAAGCTTATTCAAACAGGTGTATTCTCAAAAGGTTAGGCAGGAAGAGTCTGTTCCATTAGGGATAGAAAGTGTGTATAGCTGAGGATGGTGCTGTGAGAAGTTACTACTTGTTGTGGATCTCTGCTGAGAAAATTCTACTTGATCTGCCCTTCCCTTCTGAACAACGCTTTTGTAGAAATAAACTTCAGAGTCCCATCAGTAATGACCATCTTCTCCCAGCAACAGTGCACCTCATTAATGAATGAAAAAGGCATTGTGTAAAATGGGCTGTGTTGATTTTTTTAGGTCAGAAGCTATCCAGCAGGTCTATCCAACAAGCATCAACTAAGGTATGATTTGGGGGGGGAGAAGGAGGGGAAGGCAAAAATCTTGTCACATGATGGGAGTGTATGTGCATTTGTTTGTGTTTTTTTTTCCCAATGTAAACTGTTGTGCCTTAGTATCTCACTCTCTAACACAAATGACAAATGATGTGGTTATTTTCTGAAGTGATTTGATGTGTTTTCTGGAGAGTCTTCAAAGGAGTGATCGGAAACAGTACTGGTGTATCTGGTGGAGAATGTATTATTGGGTGTTTGTCATCTAGGGCCTCATCCTACTGTAGTGCAGAAGGGATTTTAAAATCACGGAATGTTTTCTGAGGACGAGCACTGAGTGTCTTTGTCCTAAGGAGTCTTCCCTGAACAGAAAACTAGGAACATTGGGTGCTGTGAGAGTAACTCTCATCAGTAATCTGTTAGCTTGTGCTAGATAGAAGAAAACTTGCAAAAGGCATGCATATGATAACCTCTTTGTGGAAAAAGTTACCTTTGGATGCTGAATAATTTTAAGTGATATATGCATAAGAAATTGTATGAATTGTATATATTTTGAAAAAAAAAGGGGGGGGGGAAGAAAATGGAGACATGAATAAATTTGCTTATGTTAGTTCTTTAGTACAGTTTTAATTACACTTAACTGTGGTTAAATGATGCAGATATTTTAGGATGCACATAATCAAGATCTTTTAATGTGGATAATGGGAATTCATGTTTTCACTGCCATCCTTAGCTCTTTGCAGTGCAGCTCAGTTGGTCATTTGGCAGGTACTGGGCATCTGTTAATGATGGTCTACCTGTTTAAGCAAGAGTGTGCTGTTCTAAGCAAATTAAATTTCTTGTTCTTCCTGATCTTTTTTCTAATAGGGATTGATAAGGCTCATAGGAGAATGAAAATCTGTTTGTAGTATAGTGATTTAATAAGAGTTAATTTCTGGGTCCTCTCTATGGAGGAACTAGAGAGCAAAAACTTACACACTATTGGATCAGGCATTTGGCCATTTTTCTAATGTACTTGGATTTCTACAGCAGGACAGTGTCAATACAGTATAAGCTATCACTAAAATATTGTTAAAATTTTAGCTCTATCTTTTGTTAAAAATATCTTAAATGTTGATAGTTCAGTGGCTCCAGGAAAGATCAGATACTTCCACTCTGTAGAATAGTCTCTGTATCTAGATACTATTTAAATTGTAATTAGGTATGGCAATCAAATGGCGTGAGAGCCTGAAACAGAGAGAGGTGCATGTTGGCAAATCAGTGGGAGAGGGAGGAGTTCAGTCCCAGTGTGCTCAATTCCAGACTAATGTTCTCTGTCTAGTCCTGAATGTGCCTCTTGAGAAACAGTGATGATTTCTCTTTGTGTTCTGACGTAGCTGTTCTTCCTGCTTGCCCATTCAAGAAGTTGTACAAGCCTGCAAACGACATGGAGATCATGAAGAAAGTCCGTAAGATCTTACGGAAGGACCTGCAGAAGTGGAACAGAGGAGATTAAAGGTTGATGACTTCTACAACGCCCACATTCTTTGGTGGGAGAAAGAGAATTTTCTTTTTTATTTATTTGTTTATTTTTCAATAGAGAACAACAGCACATCTTCCTTTTCCAAAGTATTAGAATGACTGTGTCTCCCTGATCTCCTTGACAAGATGCCTAGTGTTTGGACAGATCTCAATGTTTTTATGAGTATGTGCCAAAATGTTAGTGAATACTTATCCATGCATTGCTGTCTTTGCATGTCATACTGAAACTGTAGGCCAGTGCTGCCTCCCCATCTTTATATTGTCTGTGTACTTTTTCTTAAAGTAAATGAAAGCTTGTTTTATAAAGAAATAGTGGAGAACTTTTGTCTGAAGTCCTTTCAGATGCATGTTTTTACAGAGTAAGCTTTAACTTAAGGTGGATAATGTTGTATTTCTGCAGAAATTTCTGATGAGGAAATACTAGTGGATACTTGTAACCCTGTGATTACCTACAAACAGCCAAAGCCTTTCCCAATTTTTTTCTTTTTATCCAGAACAGGAAGCATTCCAAACTGGCCTTCAAAACCACCATATTCAGTGCCTCAAAGGTTTGGCACTTTTGTTCCTGTTTGTAGGTGATCTCCCATCTATACTGCAAGTCACTGTTTTCAGGGTTCTTCCATTAAAAAAAGAACAGCAATTATAGAAACAAACTTGCACAGATGGGGGGGGGTGGTGTGGGAAACAGGAGTGACACGAGAATCCTTACTTACCGCCTCTCCCATCACACAAGGGTACTTCTTTTTGTTTGCATAATCTGACCTGGTCAGTTGACAGCATATAAATAACAATATCTGAAAACCACAGTTTGTTTGTAAATATCTGTGTCACATAAGTCTGGATGTGACAAATTTTATTTGTGCTTGGAATTTGTATTGGTTTAGTGAAAACAATGGTGTCATAAATGGTCAAGTCTCAAGAACTGACAGAACCTTCGGATGTGAATTTGATCTTAATCTGAGCTTTAATTGAGCGAGGGAGAAATTTTAAGGCTGTGCTCCTGTGTTCTGCAGTATTTGTTGAACAGAAAAAAAGCCTTCAGTTTCTTCCAGCTCCCAAGAGCTGCGTTTTTGTTTCTATCTGATACACAGCTGCTTTTATTCAGCTCCTTGAGGATGGCTCATGGAATTCTGCTTTCCAGCTTAAGGAAAGATAGAGGTCTCCCTGTATGAAAACTTGATGATCAGTGTACATAGTCCGAGTGAGTTGGGAGCACCTAGAACAGTCACCCTCAAGCATGCTGTGATTTAAGCTGTGTTAGGAATGGGAGCTGGTAGAAGGAATAAGCAACTGAAGAATGTAACGGTAAAATTAGGCATTCTTGCTCTTCACATAGTACCCTCACACAGTACCTTTTCTTACACATCTTGAGAGAAACACTAGTCAGCAGTGGGATGAAAACAAATCTCAATTTTTCCTCCCCTTTCACCCCAAACCTACAGTTTAAGCATGGTTTTGATAATAAGCCACAAATTTGGCCTAAAAAAAAAATAATAATCTTCTATCCTAGATCTGGGTGTACAGTGTTTAATTCCTAAAGGACTGTGCTAAAAATTCAGTTGTCAGGTCACTGTTTTTTTAGACATAAATACAACTTTTTTATCACAGATGTTTCTCTTAAAGCTAAAATTCAATGGGAGAATTAGAAATTAATTATTTATGTTTCTTACAGATGATACTTTAGTTTTCTGAAGTGTGCAGGTGTTTCCTCTTTGGCTTCTACTTATAGCTCTTCATTCACTATGCGTTGGATGTTTTCTCAGGAACACTTACCTCTGAGAGTACTCCAGATAACCAGCAAGAAACCAGAATGGAGAACAGAAGAGGAAGTGAAGTTTGTAAAAAGCTGCTTGCAGGAGATAGAAAGCTCTCAAAGTTACAGCTCAAGATTGCAGTTTCTTCTGGCTGAAGTGGTTCACTTTAAATGGTAAATGTTTTTTAGTATACAACTCCTAGTTACTGACTTTGGTGCTGTTTATGCTCTGAGCTCACATCTAATAAAAGCTAGAATGGTAATCGTGTATATTTGCTTTTATCTTCAGTGCACTAGTTATCTTCTGAATGCAAACTGGTGTAACAGCATGTTCTTCGTGGCTGTTGACAAAGCTGTTACCGCATCTGAGGTGTGGTGTTCGTGGAAGGAGATGGAGAAAGTGGGAACCTCCTTAACTTCTACTGAGAACAGATGATCTGTGGAAAGAGCTTTACCAGTTTTAAATCAGTGTCTTCAGAGTAATTTGGTGGGTGCACAGGTTTTTCATGTCAGGTTCTAGTGCATGTTTAACTTTGAACATAATACAAGCCATAAAATTACCTCTCCCTGGCCTCCCCATATTGTTTTTTTGGTTTTGTTTTTTTTGTCTCCTACCACGGTATTCATACTTAGCAGTTTTTGGGAGTGGGAAGATTGTTTTAACACATTCTCATCTACCACTTGTCTGCCTTTCTCCCATTGCCTTTTTCTCCCATCCAGAGGAACACAGAAACAAAAATATCTGTCTGTAGAAAACTTCTGTCATCAGTTTCCCGTGCTTGCAGATGAATTTCCACTCTGCCAGCACAACTGCAGAACCATGCTGATGAGAGCAGCATCTTGTACTACATGTACCAGCAGATTATCAGCACAAATAACTGACCTTCTCCCCTTTATATTGTTTTGAATCCAGATCAGTCTGTGGGTCTGGACCATGGTGCACCCTACAAGTGACTCTTTTTGTACAACTTGAAGGGGAGCACGGGACAGGGTCAGGAAGTTCTTAATCTCCAGCTTTTAGGGTATGCTTCTGTATTGGGTGCTGGTGCCCAGTTATGCAGGACACAGCTGGTTGTGGCCAGCTCTGCAATGGACCCGCTACAGCTGAGCTCATCGGTGAAGCTGGTGGCACCTCTGTGGATGCTTATTTAAGAAAGGGTGAGAGGAGTGAGAAAGAAAGTGAGAAAAACAGTCCCTGAATGCCAAGGTCAGAGAAAGAGAGAGAGGAATTGCTTCCAGTGCTGGAGCACAGAGGACACCATGCTGGAGCAGGTGGAGATTTCCTGAAGGAACTGCAGTCCATGAAGAGGAGCCATGGAGGAGCAGGCTTATGCTGAAGGACTGCAGCCTGTGGAGAGGACCCATGGTGGACAAGCATGAGGAAGATGGAGCAGTGGAAAGGAGCTGTTACAGACTGACTGCAACCTCCCACTCCCCTTAGCCCTGCGCTGCATCGGGTGAGGGGGAGGTAGAGGAATTGGGGTGAAGGTGTGAAGTTGAGCCTGGGGAATGAGGGGAAAGTGACATTTTAATTTGTATATTCTCAGTATTTTAATCTATTTTAATTGACAATAAATTAATTTAATTTTCCTCACATCAAATCAAGTACTTGAAATTTATATCTAGACTCAAATCACAGTGGAAAATACTGTTTTCTCTATGATCACTGCAAGCCACTATTGCCTTTAATTTTTTAAGTAGGGCACCTAATGGATCAAATTTTAATTTTTAAGAAGTCATTCCTGTTTGAGTCAGTAGTTGCATTTTTGAATGCATTCTGTTTTGGCCTTTCAAGTTCTGCTTATTAAGGTTTTCTCTACAGTCTATCTTAGCTGCAGAGTCAACTCAGGGACAGGTCTAATGCATTTCAGTTCTGCTGGAGAAGAATACCAGCCATATTTTTACAAATATGAGTGTGGGAGCATCCATTCTGGTGGAAGGATGCTGCAGCAGTAGATCCTACTTTGGTGGTGGTGTTCTTACAGATGTTAAGGATACAGCATCTTCACATGCTTCAGAAGGGGGCAAAGTTTGGGGTGAGTGGCATCTTTGGCAAAAATACTATTAATCTTGGGAAAAGAAATAAGTAGAGTTTGGGAAAGAGATTTATATTCCTGTGCTTTCCAGAGATTATTTTCCTGAATGAGAAGGGAACATCCTTAAAAGGTAAGTTTTGTATGTGAGTTCTTACACAACCTACCTCAAATATGTGACACTGGCCACCCAGGGTATCTAGGCAAGATGTTATGTGACATTATGCACTTAATGATTTCTAGTAGGGGCACTGTTTGTAATACAAAATTGGTGGATAGCTTCCTAGCATTAGCTAAATTAATCCTTAATTTCTTCCCCTCTCACCACATCTCTCTATGAAAGGAAGATCCTCTGTTAGAAGGAATATGGAGAATTGTTAGTTGTCTGTGTGGAGGACACAAAGCTGTTTGTGGTGGCTAAAGATGACTAATTTGATAATAAATTAGATGAGCTTCAGAAAGGATTGCACCACGTTATAATTTCATCAAGTAATTTCTTCCAATGATATCCCTCACTTTTGATTATTGTCTTACTGTTTACTTACTGTATAATCTATTCCATAAGCTTTCCTGGCTATATCAAGGCCATAGAAGAAATGCATCTAACAATTCTCTTTTCTCTTGAAGTTCTATGAAAAGGAAAGAATTCCCCATTTTGCAGCTCTCAGGGACAGCCATGCTTGCTTAGCTACCAGCTGCTCTGGAAGAATACGTGTGTATCCATGTTCCCTAGCTACCAAAAAATCTTGAATCGGGCAAAGTGAATTTGGCATCTAAAAAGTCAGGCAAACTATTCTGGAACCAAATTTAGCATCTTCAGGAGCTGCGGCCTAGGGTTTATCAGTTGCGATTTTAAAAATAGGAGTATTTGCATAGTGAAACATATTTTTATTCAGCCCGTTCAATCTATGAAAAAATGTCTCCATTCCTTTTATTTCAGATTTGTGGACTTCTTTGCAAAATTATCTGAGAGATCACTAGTGAGATTAGCTAATAACTGTAAAATGGCAAAGTTTCACTGTGGACAGGTGGTAACAAAAGGTCCCATAAAGTCAGCCAGCATAATTATCATTAGTGAGGTAAGATTTTTCAGACATTAACTGCAGATTTGGTGATATGCTGACATATATTCTGGTCTTGCAAACAAAAATAGTGATTATGAGCTATTGCAGAAAGAACTGGGAAATAAAGCACTTTGTAAAAGACCAGTCTGTGGTGGTTTTGGTTTCTGTTGGCTTTGTCATGCTTTTACTTAGTATTCAGCTCCTTTGTGTACCCTGTGTAGGATCTGTTTTATCCGATCTCTTATGTAGAGGAAGTTAAGGTAATAGTTAACACAAAACGTAATACAAATACACAAGTTCTTCATGGCAAGATACATGATATTTCATATATTTTCTAACAAATAGTTTAAGTGTTTGAATATTATTAGTAATTAGCAGAAGACATTTGAGAGAAACTTCAGATGCTCTATATTCACTGTTTTATTTGTATTTTGATTTTGGAATTGATGAATTCCCATTTCTTTGAGAGCAGTTATTAGCAATGAGGTGACTATTTTCAAGTGAGCTATAGGTTCCAGCAGAAATGGCTTCAGGTAGGGAAACCGGAACCATATTTAAAGTTTAGTGGCCAGAATTTCTGAAGAGTTGAGGTGCTGGGAGCTACCTCTGCACTCACAAAAACATTACCTTTTGGGCATAATGTTATAAAGATCAACAAGGCTTCGAGAGAGGTTTGGCTGGTATCATACACAAATACAGTTTGCTGTGAGGCAGCAATGCTTCCTTTTTTGTTATAAGATGCCTAAAATACTTTGTGTCTGTTATTTTGTGTCTTGCTGCTGACATACCAGCAGGATGATACAGAGAAGAGAGTCCACAATAAACGTTTTGTTTAAACTCAGAGGCAACAGCTGGCATATTTTAATTTTTTCCATGGAATACTTGAGGTATTTGAAGGAGTAAAAAAACTAGTATATTTTGTTTTGTTTTGTTTTCTCTATACCATTTTCTGGTGACAAAAGATAGTATGTTAAGTTTATTTGGAGAGTTTTTTAGGGTCCAGGATCAGATAGTGCTGCTGATATTACACATGGTTAATACTGCCATTTGGGTTTTTTTTTTTTTTCCCAGGTTTGCAGTTGCCATAACTTCATTTCTTCAGGGGATTTTTGTCCATACACTCCAGTGGTCATGCTGCCTCTGGGATGTGAAGTATTTTGGCTTTGTTTACTAATTTAGTCAGAAAATATTTGTATACCCTTGCTTCGATGATTTACAGAAAGGTTAGTACAGTTGGTTGTCTAGATAAAAACTAGCTTTCCAGAGATGGAATTATTTTAAGTCTGCTGAAATGGCAACGTTGGCTTAAGATGGTGAGTGAGTACTGACATGTTGAGGAATCACAGGGGAACAATTTTTTGATGTTGTTATTGTTGAATTGTAGCATTCACTATTCAACTTACTTTGCACAGGTCAACAACTGTTTATCATCTTTTGCCACAGAATAATAAGTGAACTAGCATTATTGGCTACTTGACCAGCACTTATTTGGATTCCTTCTTGCTTTTTTAGAATGAATTGTTTAACTTTTGGCTACATGAGAAGTGAAATTTCCCAACCAAATATTTTGGTGGTTGTCTTGGTGATAATGAGCTGTGTCAGAGATCTCTAGAAGAGAAGCAGTGGAAAATAATGAAGACAACCTAACAAAGTCTGTACCACAAAGAAAACATGCACCAAAAGTAACTCTTGCTTTTGAAAGGCCCATAGAACATGTTCTTAAATCCTGGAGCATGATTCAAGCTGTCAGTGTGGAGCTGGGTACACTATCACAAATTTCTAAAACCATCTCAGCACCATTCACACAAGTTTATTCTTCTGTTCACCCTGAGCATGGAAAGGAGCCTCTAGCTAAGCTGCATACAGAGTTAAAGTTAATTTGTAGTGTTATTTTAACGTATCCCAGTTCAAATGAGTTGAGTGCTTGAGAAAGCACTTTAAAAGCACTGATGCAGTAAAAAATTGAAACTCCATTTTTAAAAATATAAGTTTGAAAAATAAATCTGTGTTCAAATTTGTAGTTCACCCCGTTTTGCATTAGATGAGAGACACAGGGGAAATAACCTTTTCTTGACTATTCCTACTTTCTTATGCCTGTCATCCATCCAGGACTGCTGCCATTAACTTGGGTGTAAATACTGGGTTTTTTCCAGTGGTAATGTATTTTTCATTATGATGAGGAAATGTGTCTATGTCCTTAATGATTTTCACCTGTGTTTTCTTTTGTCTTTCAGATTAAATATTAAGAATCTTTTTAAGATTCCAAGATACTTTCATGTTTGTATATCCATTGAATACAACTAGGAGTAAAACTGAATAAAACTCTTGTCCCTCTTTCAGTTCAGGTGATGTTGTATGATGTAATTACTATGGTATTTAAAGTATGTTGATTGATTACAGCTGTAACAAATGCTGTAATCTTTATACAATTTAGCTTCTGTGTATTTGGGAGGTTGACAGTATTGGAGCGCGGTAATCAGAACCATAGCATTGTGTTCTGAACATTGCCAGGGTAAGCTGAATAAAGCTTTTAGTGAAACATGAAATAGAGTGTAGGCATTTCTGGCAAGGTCTTGATTGGTCTCAAGGGTTATTTTTGTAGTCTTGAACTTAAAGGTGAGTAGCCAAACCATAAATACATGCTCTTCTACGACATGAAATCTCTTGAGAAATTTTGAGACCTGCTTCCATGTGCAAGTTGACTTCCCACAGTTTATGCTAGAGAAATGGCTGGCTGGTACATTAGTGATGTTCCAGAAGCATAATAATCCTCTAAAAAGTGGTCATATGAAAAGGAAGATAGCTTGAAAGAGATGATTAGTGAAGATTTTCCTGGACTACATATGTGTAAACTACTTGTGGAGAAGTCTTATGCATGAATACAGGGCTGGAATTTTCCAGTGTTTAGATGGGAGTCTGTTCATGGTCTTAGCTGAGATTGGAGAACTTGACCTGTGAAGACCCCTTCCAGTGTAAGTGACTCTGTTCAGTCAGTCTGTGTTAGCAAGAGCTTATAGACAATCATCTTTATGTGTATAGAGTGCACAGGCAAGATGGACTCAGTAAGTGTACCTTCTGATAATTCCACATCTTTATCTTCCCGTTAATGCAAGATTCATTTATTGCAGAGTGTAAACTGCAAGGAGCGTGCTGTATTGTGCAAGTTACCTTGACGCAGGCTTTAGGGTTTTCCATTTTACTTGACCCAATTCTGTGCTTGAGCAATTAACACACTTCTAACATGCTGCTGTTTGAGGAGAAAAAACGTATCCTGAGAGATATCTATTTAAATGTACCCAGAGAGATGCTGAAGTCTCTTACCTAGTATCTTGAAAGAAAAATGAGGTGATGAACTTTAAGTGTCTGGAATGTATAAATTGATATGAGATTCAGCAAGAAATTGGGGACCTAATTATTCACAAATGCTAGGCATTTGTAATGTAGGTGCTTAAAGCAGCAAAAGCACTAATCTGACCTGTTTTCATCTGTTGTGAATTTAGCTTCTGCTGTAATAGGTGTCAAAAAAATTTGACAATTTTCATTCTACAATACTCCTCCTTTAACAGAATAATATTCTATTAATTTCTCAATAGATTCTTATCATGTCTAGATATAGGCCAGGTTATTGTTTCAAATGTAAGCCAAACTGGTAATGATCTAGGGATTTGTTTACCCCTGTGATGACAGAACCTAGTTGGTCATCTGAAGTTGGTGCCCCGAGGTAATAATGACTGAGAACAAAACCTTGCATTAACTGATACATCCTTCTTGAAAGTTTCACTTGTAAAGACAACTTCCTGAATTGCTTTAAAGCATGCAAATAGGAAACGTGAGGGAGGTTTTTCTTGCTGCATTCATTCTCAGGATGATAAAGGTACACACAACAGTGTGTATACTACAAAAAAGACAAATTAATAGTTCCTCTGTTCCTTTTGAAAAAGGGACTTTCAATAAAAAAAATAAAACAATGATTTAAAGTGGAGGAAAAAAAGTCATTATTTCCAAATACGTTGTTAATCTTCAAAGGATGTGTCCACAAAGTAGTATTGAGGTCAAACATTATTTAGAATGATAATTTAGAATATCCATAGTTAGGTTACTGGTTTTGTGTTGAAGCTATCTAAACCTTTAGCGTAGAAAGTACAAGCTAACCATGAACTGACGAGGATAAAGAGTAACAGAGTATTCTTTGGGGATCAAGGGAGGGCAACATCCCTTGCACTTCATGCTGAAATAATCCTGTACTGGCAACTTTTAGTGACATTTTATTTGACTAAATGGGCCAGTGGTCTGATTCATTTGTGCCGGAAAAGAGTGTTAACATTGACTTAAAGCACTGGGACAAAATGTACTATTGTTTTTCGTTTTGTTTTTTTTTTAAATTTTCTATCTGTATATATATTTACTTGACTTGGTGTTTTAATATATTGTATGAGGAAAGCAGGCAGTGTTTTGATTTTTGGACGGTGGGTTCTCATTGCTAATTGACATCTTGAAGTTCTAATCCTCATTTATGATATTATCACTTATACAGGGACAAGCACTGTCAGACAGGATTAGAGAATTAGCACAGAGTGAGGCATCCAAAACCATTTGTGCTGTCTTTTATTAGATTTTTGTCTGTTTTGAGTGGCAGTAGATAAGTGACTTAATAATAATTATAGGGTCTTTAGGACCCCACTCTTTCCTTGGAAGGTCTGTGCCCTGCTGATATTTTTTTTTCATTTACAGGGTCAAGCAGTAGAGACAGGCTGAAGGTGCTGCTGTTTGGAAAACAACAGCTATAGAGCTATTGAGTGTTGTCAGGGGACACAACCATCGTCCCTATATACAGCAAAAAAGAGAACAAGGAAGGAAATAGAAGATGGATGCGAGTCCTGTTTTTCTTCTGGCTGTCCCCATATTAGATCAAAGGACTTCTGGAAGAATTAGTGAGCAATGCTGCAAGAGAAAGCAGAGGTGGGAGCTCAATGATGACAGCTGGTTGAAGTCCTTTAACTCCTCCAGCTATTTCTCTATAATTTGGAGTGAGAAGGTACTTTCCCAGTCCGCCTTCAGGCTGTTTGGAAGGGACCGTATTTTATCCCAGACTATCCATTCTCTAGTTCTTGGCTTTGGAGAGGGGAGAGAGAGCCTATTAGGCCAACAGGTTACAAAAGAAGGTGGCTGTTGGACAAATGCTCTCTGCTCAGACAACATTAGTAGTAGTTCTTCTAAATGTTTTTTTGTGTTTGTTTTTTTTTTGCAGCAGGTTGTTCTGTATGCATCAAGAGACAGCAAATTTAGGAAGTAGATCTACTTCTGGAGGCTACAAAAACCCTAAAATTTGTGTGTGTATATATAGCCTCACAGAATACACACACACATACACATATAATTTTTTTATCAGATTCAGTCATTTGTTGATAGTAACTTGCTATAAACAACTGTTGGTACGAAGCCATTTTCAGTCATCCTATAAAAAGCAAATAGCTTGTTTTCATGTGACAGCTCAATGAGACAAGAACCTTAGAAACTGTTTATAGTAGATACAGCTGTTTTACAGAGACAGTCATTTAAAGACACGTATTTCCTGAAGTGTTAGCTAACTTGTGTGTTGAAAGAACTTTTAGCATGGCTGTTACCTTTTCTTGCTACTTCTGTGCCGACCAGTCAGGCATCGAAATCTACATTGTAAATTAGTCATGTACTCAGCAATTCATTTTTTTTTACCTTTGAGTAGAGAATATAGAATCCAAGCTGGTTTCAATCTGACATGCATTATAGAATAAATAGAGGTTTTGTTCTAGTTAAATATTTAAATTTAAGAGATGTTAATAAAATCAGTAACAGCTGTGGTCAGTGACAGTCTTATTTTTACTTCAGTGAACATAAAGTCAGACCCAGGAAAGGGTCCGAATGGTATTTGAATCATTAGTGACTCTGCTACTTTGTCCAGCAAACATCAAAACACCTTTTTCAGCTTGTATCAGCTGTTATCCCGGCACTGTATGTTTGCCTTATAATTCTTAAGGTGCCAGTGTT